CACGGCCGGCACATTTTTTTACTTACCCGAATTTCCGAACTGCACTGAACCACATTTTTTGCCCATGCACATCCATATGAGCTATGCCCTGCAATAAAAGACCAGCTCACTGTGTGAGAGCTTCAGCCGATCACTCCCAGGCAATGAGCTAAGCCATGTTCAGTGCAGACAGCTGGGCTCAGAAGACCCCAGGACTAATTGGAATTGGGGTGCGAGGGCACTCCTGCCTCTATAACCTCTACAGTTATGATTATAGTGGTTATGGTGCTAGGAGTGTTCCTATAATGTGCCATCACTATTTAACTTTTAGAAAAATATTTAAAAAAAAAGAAATTTCATGCAAGCAGAGCCGGCCTGCCCATAGACCGCTGTGTAGCCATGGCTCCAGGCGGCATACTGACAGGAGCATTTTGCCGCCCCTGTCATCATCTAACACAGGAGTTCCCAACCCGTGGTTGCGGTCCAGCTACACTACACGGGTTGGGAACCTGTGTGGAGGTCCATCAGGTGGCCCATGCTCTTAGGGCCACCTGATGGACATATGCAATTAGGGACCCGGTCATGCGACCTATAGCAGGGAGAGCTGGGTGGAAGTGACAGCCTCTCACTTCCTCCCAGCTCACACACACTGACACTGAGCTGCGCGGGAGGAGGGAGCTGTGAGGATGGGGTCGGATCGGGAGAGCAGGCCCCCAACTCCCACCAGCCACAGCCAGCAGCAGGTAAAAAACTACAGGGTGGCTTAATTTTTGTGTATCTGATTGTTTGTATCTGTGTAATGTGTATGTGTATCTGTGTTTGTGTGTGTGTAGTGTGTTATCTGTATGTTTGTGTGTGTGTGTAGTGTGTGTATTTGTGTGTAGCGTGTGTGTAATGTGTGCATAGTGTGTTTATCTGTGTGTAGTGTGTATTTTGTATGTGTAGTGTGTATATCTGTTTGTATGTGTGTAATGTGTGTAGTGTGTAATGTGTGCATCTATGTGTGTAGTGCGTGTATTTATATGTGTCAGTGTCTCTTTGTGTGTCAGTGTGTCAGCATGTCTGTGTATCTGCAGGCGTAACAGTGTATGTGTACATCTGTATGTATATCAATATCTGCATGTGTTTCAGTGTTTGATATTTATACTGACACACATGCAGACACACTGATACACGTGCAGATATAAATACACACATACAGTTACACACACACTAAAACACCTTGTTCCAAATTATTATGCAAATTCTATTTAAGTGTCACAAGGATTAAATATTTTGTTTTTCAGTTTAACTCATGGATGGCATTGTGTCTCAGGTCTCTTTTGATCACTGAAAACAATCTCGGACACCTGTGATAATTAGATTGCCAGGTGAGCCCAATTTAAGGAAAAACTACTAAAGGAGGGATGTTCCACATTATTAAGCAGAGCACTATTTTCATGCAATATGGGGAAGAAAAAGGATCTCTCTGCTGCCGAAAAGAGTGAAATAGTTCAATACCTTGGACGAGGTATGAAAACATTAGATATTTCACGAAAACTTAAGCGTGATCATCGCACTATTAAGAGATTTGTGGCTGATTCAGAGCACAGACGGGTTTGTGCACATAAAGGCACATTGAGGAAGATTTCTGCCAGATCCATGCATCGAATCAAGAGAGCAGCTGCTAAAATATCATTACATTGCAGCAAACAGATATTTGAAGCTGCTGGTGCCTCTGGAGTCCCACAGACATTAAGGTGTAGAGTCCTCCAGAGTCTTGCAACTGTGCATAAACCTTCTATTCGGCCACCACTAACTAATGCTCACAAGCAGAAACGGCTGCATTGGGCAGAAAAATACATGAAGACTAATTTTCAAACAGTCCTGTTCACTAATGAGTGCCGTGCAACCCTGGATGGTCCAGATGGATGGAGTAGTGGATGGTTGGTGGACGGCCACCCTGTTCCAACAAGGCTGCATCATCAGCAAGGCCCGTGTTTTGGGCCGGAATCATGGGAAGAGAGCTGGTCAGCCCCTTTAGGGTTCCCAAAGGTGTAAAGATGACCTCTGCAAACTATGTGGAGTTTCTGACTGACCACTTTCTTCCATGGTACAGAAGGAAGAACTATGCTTTCCGTAATAAAATCATCTTCATGCATGACAATGCACCATCTCATGTTGCAAAGAATACATCTGCATCAATGGCTGCTATGGGGATAAAAGGAGAGAAAGTCATGGTGTGGCCTCCATCCTCCCCTGACCTCAATCCTATTGAGAACCTTTGGAGCATCCTCAAGCAAAAGATCTATGAGGGTGGGAGGCAGTTTACATCCAAACAACAGCTCTGGGAGGCTATTCTGACATCTTGCAAACAAATTCAAGCAGAAACTGTCCAAAAACTCACACGTTCATTGGATGCAAGACTTGTGAAGCTGCTATAAAATAAGGAGTCCTATGTTAAAATGTAACGTGACCAGTTAAAATGTTTAAAAAGTTAAAATATTGTTATAAGTTTGATAGCTTTTGATTTCAGTAAATATGCTGCAAACACAATAAAAACACTGCCACACATGCAGATACATAGACAAACAGCTACAATCACTGATACATACAGATTTATTTATTTATAAAATATTTTACCAGGAAAGATACATTGAGATTTCTCTCGTTTTCAAGTATGTCCTGTACAGATACAGACACACAGATACAAACACTGACACACATGCATATACACAGACACTGTGCATAGGTAAGTGTATTGGCTGCAGTGCACACACAGACACATGCTATATCACCAGCACACACAGACACACTCTACATCACCAGCACATACAGACATATACTACATCCCCAGCACACACACAGACACATACTACATCCCCAGCACTCACATAGACACACACTTCATCCTCAGTACATACACACACATATCATCCCCGGCACACAGTTAGACACACACTTAATTTCCAGTACGCACACAGACAGGGGTGGGGGGGGGGGCAGCATTTCATCCTTAGACCCAGGCAGCAAAATGCCTTGGGTTTGCCCTGCATTCAAGTATACAGTGTCCTTGATAAAACTTTATAGTATTGGCAATTGTTTTAAAGACACTATCGAGAACCAACTTGGAACCGAATGGTTCTGCTTGCAACATCTGCAAATATTCCCATTACCGATTATATTGCTTGGTATATATAAAGTGATCACACAGGATCAGTTTTACCAGAACATTCACCAGCTACTGACTGAAGATGTTGAGGCTCCTTGTCCTTGCTGCTCTCGTCCTTTGTGGTAAGATACATTGACAGCTAACTGTACATCATCTGCTAATCCAACTTCACTTTGCTTTACACTTCACTAACTCTCTATTATTTTTTTAAATGTAGTGCTTCTTCTCACATGTGAGAGTTTCAGTTATTCTGCCTCACTTACACTTTGAGTAATAACAATTATTAATCACTCTTCAACCCTAAACATTATATGTCTCTCTTCCTATCTTTACCATTGTAATAGTTTAAATTACCGTATATACTCGAGTATAAGTCGAGTTTTTCAGCACATTTTTTGTACTGAAAACCCCCCACTCGTCTTATACTCGAGTCACTGTCTGTATTATGGCAACTTACATTGCCATAATACAGACCAGGACCGCCGAGCTCATTGCAAGCCCTGCGGTCCTGTTGGGGGTTGGCAGCGATCTGTAACTTACCTTTCCTGCAGCTCCTGTCAGCTCCCTTCTCTCTCCTCCGGTCCGGTCAGCTCCCTTCTCCTCCACTGTAAGTCTCGTGAGAGCCGCGGGGTCAGAGCGTTGCCACAGGTTACCGTGGCAATGCTCTGCGCGGCACTCACACCGCGAGATTTACAGTGGAGCTGACAGGGGAGCTGACCGGACCGGAAGAGACCGGATAAAAACACATCTCAAGTATTGGAAAAAAAAGCTTTTCAAAAAAGAATGAAAAAACTAAAAATCCAACGCAACTAAAAATAGATCTTTAGCAGGTGGTCTGCACAGGATAAACTTAAAGGCACGAAAAGTCCAATCTGGATCCAAATTTTAGCTGAACCATATTCAGAGCATATTCAGGCTCATTAAGAGTCCTTACTGCAAAATCTAGGCAATGTTAAAAACTGAACAATATCTGGATTTTACAGTCCAAATTAATCCATGGAGCACAAGATGGGTTTGCCCCATTCATTACAGGATCATTCGGACTTTAGTGAATAACTCTGAGATTAAATTCATAGAAACGTAGAATGTGACGGCAGATGAGAACCATTCGACCCATCTAGTCTGCCCAGTTTCCTAATACTTTAATTAGTCCCTGGCCTAATCTTATGCCTGTCTCACTAATGCTTACACTCCCTGTGGTTAAACACTGTTTTAACCTCTACCAGTTCAGCTAGAAGGCTATTCCCTGCATCCACTACCTCTCTGTAAAGTAATACTTCCTAAAATTATTTTTAAACCTTTCCCCCTCTAATTTAAAACTATATCCTCTTGTTGTGATAGTTTTTCTTCTTTTAAATATAGTCTTCTCCTTTACTGTTTTGATTCCCTTTATGTATTTAAATGCTTCTGTCATATCCCCCCTGCCTTGTCTTTTCTCCATGCTATACATGTTAAGTTCCTTTAACCTTCCCTTGTAAGTTTTATCCTGCAATCCATTTACCAGTTTAGTAGCCCTTCTCTGAACTCTCTCTAAAGTATCAATATCCTTCTGGAGATACGGTCTCCAGTACTGCGCACAATACTCCAGTTGAGGTCTCACCAGTGTTCTGTACAATGGCATGAGCACTTCCCTCTTTCTACTGCTAATACCTCTCCCTATACAACCAAGCATTCTGCTAGCATTTCCAGCTGCTCTATTACACAGTCTGCCTATCTTTAATTCATCTGAAATAATTACCCCTGAATCCCTTTCCTGAGATGTTGAGGTTAGGACTCTATCAAATATTCTGTACTCTGCCCTTGGGGTTTTACATCCAAGATGCATTATCTTGCACTTAAAATGGTAAATCAAGACAAGACATTTGCACTGAGCTTATACTTACTGTGTTTTATTTACCCCAAAGGACAATGTTATGAAGATGCTGAAGGAAGTGAGAGGGTGGTAGGAGGATCAAATTCTGCACAAAATGCATGGCCTTGGCAGGTACGTGCGGCTAACTTTTTTCTGTAGAAGGCAATAGAAAGTATTGCTATCAAAACTCCAAGAGAGTGCGACTGTGGAACCCCACGATAAATAAAATACACAATTATTTAACAAGAAAATGTTGATTACATACTGTTAATGCTTTGTTGATGTTTAATACATTTGTTGTATTGTTTCCCTTGTCCAGATTTCCCTTCAGTATCAGTCTGGAAGCAGCTGGTATCACACCTGTGGAGGTTCCCTTATCCGTGCTAACCGTGTCATGACCGCTGCTCACTGTGTAGACAGGTAATAGCATTAAAATATATTGTATTGACAGTATTAATACAAACATTCTCCCTTAAATGGATATTCCAAGCACCATAACCACCAATGTTAATTGGATATTTAAACCATTGTGAAACAGGCTCTATAACCACTGCCAAAAGTTGTTATGGTGATTAGAGTATTTTCTTAAATTTATAATGTGCATCCCTATGAGTAAAGGTGAACATGCTTATTTTCTTTAATAGTACAATAAAACGTAAATATTAATCACTTGTAAAATCTTTTTAATGCATACAGGAAAAACACAATTTGCCAATATATTAATGTATATTTGCATACTCAGACATATACTAATATAATATATTTTTTTCAAAAATCTTAGTCCGTTACAACTACAGAATTTCCTTTGATCTTTCACTGCTTTTTCTGTCATCAAATCATTTCTGATCCTTGCTAGGAATCTGTACTCTGCTTCATCTTGGATGGAATGTCCTATGCCAAAAGCTAGTTAAACAGATCCAGTCTAAGAGTCCATGGCAAAGTAAAAAAACTATGGGCTGGATTTATTGAGCAAAATAAGGATTTACTCCATTGAAGACTATGGGTGAATTGTTATTCAGTAAAATCTGTCTTAGTACTAAAATACCTTTTTTTCCTGAAATTTACAGCAAACAAAATGCATGTGTTTTAGTCATTAAATATTGTAAAACATTTACATTTTTATACAAAGTTTTGTTGTAACTGGGATGCTTCTCATTTTATGATGTATACCTTCTACCTACTGCGAGTGATATATAAACCAACTATATTATTTTATTTCTAATACGCAGAGTTTATAACTTCCGTGTGGTTTTGGGAGAACACAACCTGAGTGTGAACGAGGGCAGAGAACAATATATATCCGTGTCAAAGATTGTAAAACACGCCAGCTGGAACTCCAACAGTGTAGCTTCTGGGTAAGAAATGGGGAAACCAATGTGTGAAATTATGAATTTGCCACTTCATAAAAATAATATTATAATGTTTATAATATAACATTAACAAAACAATTGCATTTGTTAAGTTAAAGTCGATGAAAACTATTCCCCTTTCGGTATATTCTTATCTCAGGGCTCTCAGTCTTTTGAAACACTCTGGGACAGCTATTCATGGTAGATCACATTTAAGTACATATTCATCCTAAAAATAAATTCACATTTTTTCAATATTATATTTTTGTAACATACATAATTATGCCTTTTTGCTATATTTTTTATTTATGTAATGTTCTCCCAAACTGTAGTAATGTAGTAATGTTCTCCCAAGGCTTTTTGCTGTAGACACGGTCTTTTCAGAGAAAATGCAGTGTTTACATTACAGCCTGATAACTTCACTGGCCACTCCTCAGATGGCTGTTAGAGATCCTTCCTGGGTCATGGCTGCCTAAAATGCATCCAAATATTCAGTGTCTCCTCCCTCTGCATGCAGACATGGAACTTTCCTCATAGAGATTCATTGATTCAATTCATCTCTATGAGGAGATGCTGATTGGCCAGGGCTGTCTTTGAATCATACTGGCTCTGTCCCTGATCTGCCTCTTTGTCAGTCTCAGCCAATCCCATGGGGAAGCACTGTGATTGAATCAGACCACCACTTCTGATGATGTCAGTAGACTGCTTGAATACAGTATGTTTTTGCTATATTTATGGAGGCATGAGGGGCCTAGTAGGGCTAGATGTTGGTTTTAACACTATAGGGTCAGGAATACATGTTTGTGTTCTTGACCCTGTAGAGATCCTTTAACGTATATTTACGGATTCTGTCCTTGTCTATTGATCTGCCTTTGAGTCCTTGTTTGTCGCAACTAGAGTAATATATTATAATTATTACATGCCTTTATATCTATAGGTCTTTCCTCTAGTTGTTGTCCTTTCTTAACAGGTATGATATTGCAATCCTTCACCTGGCATCCAGCGCCACTCTGAACAGCTATGTAAAACTGGCAACACTGCCAAGTTCTGGGACTGTCCTGGCCCACAATTACGCTTGCACCGTTACTGGATGGGGCAGAACCAGCAGTAAGCATATGATTTAAAAAAAATAATAATAATATTATATCTATACAGTCTTGCTTCCTCCAACAGGTTATTAGAGACAATATTCTGTTGATTAATAGATACTACATATGTTCGATTTAACATCATACTCTGCTTAACATGAGCACCTGTTTTCCCCACAGCTGGTGGATCCCTCCCATCAATCCTCCAGCAGGCCCCTCTGCCTGTGGTCGCTCACTCAACCTGCTCGTCAAGTTCCTACTGGGGCAGCACTGTGAAGAACACCATGGTGTGTGCAGGTGGTAATGGAGCTCAGGCTGGATGCAATGTAAGATATTGAGTTACATTTTCATAATCTTACCATGTTGTGCAATTTTTCCTAGATAGGTTTATTACTGCAGATTCTCATTTCTTGAAATTTTGAATGCATTGTTTGAGTTTGTTTTTGGCCAGCTACCTTTCCAAGACAAGTGTTTCGCTATTTTGACCTGTCTTACTTATCATTCAACGATTCTGAAGACCACATTGTAAAAAACAGTGAAGGATCTGGAGATGGAGGAAAACTGCCTCTTGTTCTCTCTCCTCATTTGCTTGTCCTCATTATCTAGGTCAAGTTTTCAGAGCATCACTCACTTAATTATGTCTAAGGCCAACAGGGTACTGATTAGTGCAGCACATGTCTGTCTTGCATTGATTAATGGCATAAAGATTATGGGGTGACAATGTAACTTGGAATTAAAAAAAAAAAACACCTCATCTTACACAAAGGTACACTGCTTAATTTTTTTTTAAAGTTTGTAAAAAATAAAATATTTAATCTGTTTCAATAAAACATGGAGGGAGGATTTGAAGACAACAATTGGTACACAGAGATGAAGTGGAGGTGATATGGATAAAAGAAGAGCTTGAAGCCAGAGACAGGATATACAGGATGAATAAAAGAGATGGAAAAAAAATGTGTTATTATTAGGCAGAAGGATTCTGGGCTCAAGTGGAGGGATCTGAAACACAAATCAAGATGAATGACTGAATGGCTGCATGGGTGGCTGGCTAACTGGATTGATTGATTGATTGATTGATTGGTGGTTGATTGATTAATTGATGGGTGGTTGGCTGGCTGGAAGGATGGATAGCTGTCTGGATAGATAGCTAGCTGGCTGACCTACAAGACAAGAGATGGACTGGAAGGTAGATAAGAGAAATAGGAGTACATTTTTCAGTGTAGTTTTGTTGGTGCTATCCATGTTTTTTAATCATGTATTTGATAATATTCCTAACCATAGTTTTGTAGACATATTGGTTATAACATCTATTCAAACATTTTTAGTAACTGATTGAAAATGTATGTCATTATTACAAGCATACCCTTGGATGCTTACATTGGATAAAGATGGTCTAGACTACATTTTTTTTCTGTTATAGGGAGATTCTGGGGGACCCCTCAACTGTGCTGTCAGTGGAGTTTACCAGGTCCATGGTGTAACTAGTTTTGTGTCTTCTTCTGGATGCAATGCCTACAAGAAACCAACAGTGTTCACCAGAGTCTCTGCTTATATATCCTGGATCAATGCTGTAAGTTTATTTTACAAAAAATAGATATGTATGTGCTCTAGAATGAAAATAGTGAAAATAGTGTTTGTTCCTTTATCCATTTGTAATTTTATCAAATTTATAAATAAATTTAGTGTTCGCCAATATCAACATATGAAAATTAGAATTATTTTATATTTAAATTTTGCTTGCACAAACATAATTTGTATGAATATCCACCAAAGTGCATCCAGCCATTTGGTGTCTAATGCATGCTATCCATAGCTATATATCAGATCATGGGCAATAAAAGCATGGTAAGTCAATTGGGAAGAAAAAAAAGGAAATATATGAGGCAAAAAGAGTTAGAGCAAAGCCCATTACCTGCAGGCAATGTGGCTGTTTTATAAAAGCATGAGAGGAAACCAACAATGTAGTTTTCTACTCAAATCATAGGTGCCTGCACTATAGATCTGGATCTTTGTGAAACTTTAACATCCAACACTAGCAAAACATACTGTGGGCTTTTGTTAACATTAAATGGAAAGCCATTGTGGCTGCGCTTCTTCTTTCCTCTCGCCCCGCTCGATCCTGTCCCATCTCACTTTATCGGATCTCTCTCCCCTTGTCTTGAGCCTTCCTTAACACACATCTTCAACTGCTCTCTCTTCTGGTGTTGTCCCTGCTGACCTTAAACATGCCACTGTAGTATCTATGCTGAAAAAAACATCTCTTGACCTGTCCTCCCCCTCTAACTATCGTCCCATATCCCTACTTCCAACTCTCTCCTTGACCCTCTTCAATTTGGCTTATGCCCTCTCCACTCTACTGAAACTGCTCTTACCAAAGTTACTAATGACCTAATCGCAGCTAAATCCAAAGGCCACTACTCCATACTAATTCTTCTTGACCTCTCTGCTGCTTTTCTTTGACTGTTGATCATGCTCTCCTTCTTCAAACTCTTCAATCACTTGGTCTCTGTGACTCTGTCCTCTTGTGGTTTTCTTCTCCATCTCATTCAGTGTCTCCTTTTCTAATGATACCTTCTCACCTCTTCCTGTCTGAGTTGGAGTCCCCCAAGACTCTGTCCTTGGTCCCCTACTATTTTCTCTTTATACTGCCTCTCTTGGCAAACTTATTACCTCTCTTGTATTCCACTACCACCTGTATGCTGATGACACCCAGATACATCTCTCCTCCCTGGACCTCTCCCCTGCCGTCATGCAACGTGCCACTGCTTGCCTTTCTTCCATCTCTGACTTGATGTCTTCCCGCTTTCTGAAACTCAATCTCTCTAAAACTGAGCTCCTTGTCTTTCCTCCTCCTAATACTGATCCTCCTCGTTCGCTCTCCATTCAAGTTAGTGGTATCCACATAAGTCCATCCTTGCAAGTGCGCTGTCTTGGCGTCATACTTGATTCTGGCCTCACCTTTGAGCCTCACATGCAGAATGTTGCCAAATCCTGTAGATTCCATCTTAAAAAAATAGCCTGCATGCGCCCCTTTCTTACGCAAGGAACTTGTCCATGCTCTAGTAATTTCCTGCATGGATTATTGTAACCCTCTCCTAATTGGTCTACCCAAAAATCTTTTTGTCTGTAAGGAATGCTACCGCCAGACTGATTTTCCTCTTTAGTCGGTCCTCTCACACCTCCCCCCTCTTTCAGTCCTTTTAGTCCTTACATTGGCTTCCTGTACATTTGCATATGGCACACTTTGTCAGAGAAAGTGGCATACTTGGATTTCAAATACATAACATGTCATGGTATACAACATGTTTAATTACACAGCAATGTTGTTTCATGATGGAGACAATACTTTTTAAAAGCAATATACAATTCCCTCTTGTAGTGAGAGAATAGAAACCATATGCAGAGGATAATTGAGGAGATAGAAGGGAAGTAGAAGATGAAGAAGAGGAAAAAAAATGGGGGAAAGTCCCGTCTGTGCTCAACCCTGCACATACGTAGCCCCATCAACTCTATCGCATCAGCATTCAAACCTTACCCCTCATATACCTCCCAAAGCTGTTATACTTTATTAAAAGTTGTCATTGAATTATGAACTTGGGCCATATGTTTGGTCATGAAATAATTATCTTTACATGTCAAAATTATTTGTCCTTTGTTGGGCATCTCCATTCCCAGCCACATCTGCACTAGAGCTCTTTATGCTGCCAGTGTGACTTTATTTAATAATTTGGGTTCCTTGCATAGAAGACCCTCCGTGGCTTTAGCATATAAGAAGGACCAGGGCTTAATATCTATGTGTCAGCGAAATACTCTCGCTAGTAGATTCCTGATTATCCCCCAATACTGCTGCATATTGGGGCATGTCCTCCATATATGAATATTTGCTCCCCCAGCACTGCCAGCACACGTCCATCATTGATTTGCCCACGTGATGCAAGTTGATTGGTGTCGTACAATTTCTCATCATGGTCTTAAAAGATTGTTCCTGTAGTTTAACACAAATTTAGATTTTTTGCGGCAGCATTCAATATGTCTTCCCACTTCCCCGCTTCCAGTGCTGCAAATCAGCTTACCACTGTATGACATAATGAAATATATCCCTCTCACCTCCTGGGGCACCAAGATGAGCACAGAGCACTTGGGCTTTTTGATGCATATCAAGAATATATTAAGAACATATCAATTTTTCTTTGGTAACTAACAATGCATTCTTCTTCTTTCAGAATATCTAAACAGAAGACATGTTACCAAGAAACACTTATAAAGACATCAAAAAAAGATTGTCCTTATACTGTTTGAATTCTGTATTGGCACCCAACATGCATTAAAGAACAACATATTCTTACCAGCTGTCGTAGCACTATTGTTGTGTTTTGTTTCATTTAAATCCAAGGTTTATTTATTTTTTAATAAAAGTTTTAATCCAATGCGTAAGTCATGGTGGGCAATGCTCAATATTATTCTTTAATTAGCCTCTTCACCACCAAGCTCTTTTCATTTAAAATAATAACGTAATATGTATTTGAAACATAATGCACACAACTATAGGGTGCAAGATCATTCTTGTAAAACTTATTTTATGGTCCTCTGTGGTATCCTCCCATGAAATCCATTCTCGATTAGTGTTTTAAGTATTGTAGATTCGCTAACAGGGATGTTAGCATTTGCCAGTGGCTTTTGTAAGTCTTTAGCTGACACTCTATGTGTTTATGTGCACGATTTTTGTCACGAACAGTAGGTGCAGTAAATATACAGTTGCAAGAAAAAGTATGTGAACCCTTTGGAATAATATGGATTTCTGCACAAATTGGTCATAAAATGTGATCTGATCATCATCTAAGTCACAACAATAGACAACCACAGTCTGCTTAAACTAATAACACACAAAGAATGAAATGTTGCCATGTTTTTATTGAACACACCATGTAAACATTCACAGTGCAGGTGGAAAAAGTATGTGAACCATTGGATTTAATAACTGTTTGAACCTCCTTTAGCAGCAATAACTTCAACCAAATGTTTCCTGTAGCTGCAGATCAGACGTGCACAACAGTCAGGAGTAATTCTTGACCATTCCTCTTTACAGAACTGTTTCAGTTCAGCAATATTCTTGGGATGTCTGGTGTGAATCGCTTTCTTGAGGTCATGCCACAGCATCTCAATCGGGTTGAGGTCAGGACTCTGACTGGACCACTTCAGAAGGCGTATTTTCTTCTGTTTAAGCCATTCTGTTGTTGATTTAATTCTATGCTTTGGGTTATTGTCCTGTTGCAACACCCATCTTCTGTTGAGCTTCAGCTGGTAGACAGATGGCCTTAAGTTCTCCTGCAAAATGTCTTGATAAACTTGGGAATTCATTTTTCCTTCGATAATAGCAATCCATCCAAGCACTGACGCAGCAAAGCAGCCCCAAACCATGATGCCCCACCACCATACTTCACAGTTGAGGTTTTGATGTTGGTGTGCTGTGCCTTTTTTTCACCACACATAGTGTTGTGTGTTTCTTCCAAACAACTCAACTTTGGTTTCATCTGTCCACAGAATATTTTGCCAGTACTGCTGTGGAACATTCAGGTGCTCTTGTGCAAACGGTAAACATGCATCAATGTTTTGTTTGTACAGCAGTGGCTTCCTCTGTGGTATCCTCCCATGAAATCCATTCTTGATTAGTGTTTTACGTATTGTAGATTTGCTAACAGGGATGTTAGCATTTGCCAGTGACTTTTGTAAGTCTTTAGCTGACACTCTAGGATTCTTCTTCACCTCATTGAACAGTCTGCGCTGTGCTCTTGCAGTCATCTTTACAGGACGGCCACTCCTAGGGAGAGTAGCAGCAGTGCTGAACTTTCTCCATTTATAGACAATTTGTCTTACCGTGGACTGATGAACAGCAAGGCTTTTGGAGATACTTTTATAACCCTTTCCAGCTTTATGCAAGTCAACAATTCTTAATCATAGAAACATAGAAACATAGAATGTGACGGCAGATAAGAACCAGTCTGCCCAATTTTCTAAATACTTTCATTAGTCCCTAGCCTTATCTTATGCCTATCCCACGCATGCTTAAACTCCTTTACTGTGTTAACCTCTACCACTTCAGCTGGAAGGCTATTCCATGCATCCACTACCCTCTCAGTAAAGTAATACTTCCTGATATTATTTTTAAACCTTTGTCCCTCTAATTTAAGACTATGTCCTCTTGTTGTGGTAGTTTTTCTTCTTTTAAATATAGTCTCCTCCTTTACTGTGTTGATTCCCTTTATATATTTAAATGTTTCTATCATATCCCCCCTGTCTCGTCTTTCCTCCAAGCTATACATGTTAAGATCCTTTAACCTTTCCTGGTAAGTTTTATCCCGCAATCCATGAACCAGTTTAGTAGCCCTTCTCTGAACCCTCTCTAAGGTATCAATATCCTTCTGAATATACGGTCTCCAGTACTGTGTACAATACTCCAAGTGAGGTCTCACCAGTGTTCTGTAAAATGGCATGAGCACTTCCCTCTTTCTACTGCTAATACCTCTCCCTATACAACCAAGTATAATGCTAGCATTTCCTGCTGCTCTATTACATTGTCTGCCTACCTTTAAGTCATCAGAAATAATCACCCCTAAATCCCTTTCCTCATATGTTGAGGTTAGGACTCTATCAAATATTCTGTAATCTGCCCTTGGGTTTTTACGTCCAAGATGCATTATATTGCACTTATCCACGTTAAATGTCAGTTGCCACAATTCTGACCATTTTTCTAGTTTACCTAAATCATTTGCCATTTGGCTTATCCCTCCTGGAACATCAACCCTGTTACATATCTTAGTATCATCAGCAAAAAGACATACCTTACCATCAAGACCTTCTGCAATATCACTAATAAAAATATTAAATAGAATACAGATCCCTAATCGTAGGTCTTCTGAGAGCTCTTTTGTGCGAGGCATCATTCACATCACGCAATGCTTCTTGTGAAAAGCAAACCCAGAACTGGTGTGTGTTTTTTATAGGGCAGGGCAGCTGTAACCAACACCTCCAATCTCATCTCATTGATTGGACTCCAGTTGGCTGACATCTCACTCCAATTAGCTCTTGGAGATGTCATTAGTCTAGGGGTTCACATACTTTTTCCACCTGCACTGTGAATGTTTACATGGTGTGTTCAATAAAAACATGGCAACATTTCATTCCTTGTGTGTTATTAGTTTAACCCCTTAAGGACACATGTCATGATTCCCTTTTATTCCAGACGTTTGTTTCTTAAGGGGTTAAGCAGACTGTGATTGTCTATTGTTGTGACTTAGATGATGATCAGATCACATAGTAAGAGCAATTTGTACAGAAATCCATATCATTCCAAATGGTTCACATACTTTTTCTTGCAACTGTATGTAGCTACTTGTTAAACAAAAGTGTCTAAATAGCCCAATATCCACCCCTCCCACCAGATATTTTCTATAAGTCAGGTGACTGTAACAGCCATTGTAGAATTTCCAGGACTACCTCTGCAACCAAACCATGGTGGAATTTGAGGTATGCTTGGGATCATTGTCTTGTTGGAAGGTCCAATGACACCCAAGCTTCAGCTTCCTCACAGTCAGCGTGATGTTTTCTTCTAGAATCTCATGATACTTCAATGAATTCATCTCACCTTCCACATGCAACAGGTTTCCAGTGCCAGAGGATACAAAGCACCATGCTTAACTGTTGGCAGTGTTCTTTTCTGTGTATACTTTATTATTTTTCCTCCAGATATAGTGCTAATGGGCCGAAAAATTCCAGTTCTGTTTCATCATTCCACAACACAGAAGCCCAAAACTTCTGTGGCTTATTTATTAGATTTAGAGCACATTTGAACTGACTTTTCTTGTGCTTTTTGGTCAGTAGTGTTGTACGTCTTGGAGTTCCGGCATGGAACACTCTGCGTTTAGTACGCTTTTTACTGTGCTCATTGAAACCTCAGTGTCTGTTGCCACCATATATTTCTGCAGGTCTTTTGCAGTCACTCAAGGATTTTTCACAACCTGCCTTCTAAGATATCTGGGTGCAGCCATTGATAGCTTCCTTTTTCTTCCCCATTCAGGTAGTGTAACCCCTGTTCCTTAAACTATGAACATGTGAACTAGTGAGCCTTTGAAAAAGCCTGTTTTATACCACCTTGGAGATTCCAGACCTATCTTTGAAATTTTATCCTGAAATTTTATCCTGAAGATACTCACAGCAACATCCTTGGTGAGGATTATACCACCCAAGTCATGTAGGATTAAGCAATACCTGTGTTTGCTCTCTGTTTAGGATATCTGATTGCCCACCAGCGGTAAAACAATTAAAAGCCTGGGAACAATACTTATCAAGAACCACAAGGATCTACTATCATATGCACAGACGGAGATTGTTCTTCTTCAATCTGGAGTTGACCATAAGCTGCAGAATATTGTAAGTGCATTTCTGTTCTTTTATATTCCACCAGGATTTATAATATACTACACTATATTCCGTTTTTTCTGTTCATTTTATATACCACTTTGGATTTGAGAACAATTCTACAGGCGCTGTCTCCCCGCACCCTTCTCTGTATACCAACTACAATACCAGAAAGAAGAGACTCTGGTTAGAGAAGACCAAGCTGCTGTAAATACGAAGTACAGGCACCAAAATTCCATCCCCTTACTATTCCTGACACCTCTCAGTCTGTACATTTCTTACATGCTTAAATTGTCTCAGTAACCTTCTGGGCTCTTCACATATCTTGCAAACATTACAATGGTGACATCACTACTTGGTGTGCAGTGGGTCAAGAATATAAGATATAATTGCCTAATGTTGTGCATGGGTGCCACCATCTTCTTTTTTCAGCTCCTTGCACTTCATCCACCAGGAGCCCATGTCAGCGCTTTACTCTTGCGCATCTGTGGGAGTACAGCATTGATGTCTATGTAAGATCCCACAAGATCGTGAGAGACTCCATAGAAGCTCTCTTGCGATCAGTGATACAATGCCATTTTCACACCGCCATCACTACCAATGGCAGGGGTATTGACAAAACTTGGCTGTGGATATTTTCTGGCTTATGTGATTTTTTTTCATCTTAATAAAACTGAATATTTTAGGACAACTTAGTAAAAACTATTTTTGATTTAGATAATGTTTCCAATACCATTATTTTGGTCTAAAATTTGCAGCAGTTCACTGTTTAGTAAATAGCCTTGTGTTAATTCTTGTTCTAAATTAGGCTGTTTTAAGTTATTATACTGCTCTAATTTAGGCATTTAAGTTATATGTATAAATACACATGGCCAAATTTGATAACCTTTAAAACTTCATCTGTTATGAGCTTGGCTCTAACACTAACAAGGGAACATGGTAAACGACATATGTTTGATAAGGTGAAGCTTAATACAATTTACCTGGCATTCAGCCTGAGCTCTGTTACCCCCAGCACCCATCATCATAGACTTGACTGTGCTCCCTCAGTAAGAGCTGCTGGAGCAGGTTGAGTGAGTGACTACAGACAAAACATTTGTCAGGTATAGCCTGACATGCATTCCGCCGTAGGAACCCACTTCCGGGTTCACGGCGCTTAGCCCCGCCCCTTTTTCTGACGCGGTCCTTCCACGATACTTAGGAAGACCGCGCCAGATTCAAAGGGCTGGATTATTTGCACAGGTGCCTGCAAAGTGATCAGCTGCTCTACCTTGATCCTGCCTGTATCGGACCTCGGCTTGCTAAAATGGACTTCTACCATCTCCACTCCTAGACCTCGGCTTGCTAAAACGGACTTCTACCTTCTCCACTCCTAGACCTCGGCTTGCTAAAACGGACTTCTACCTTCTCCACTCCTAGACCTCGGCTTGCTAAAACGGACTTCTACCTTCTCCACTCCTAGACCTCGGCTTGCTAAACGGACTTCTAACCCTCTTCTCCACCATTGGATGTGATTAACCCCTTCAGTTCCAGAACTGCCTTTTAAGTTAAGTAAATTGTTTCTCCAATCAAGCTACTCTCTGTTACTAATCATAGACTGTATCTGAAGGCTCATTACTGTGTCATTCTCTCAAGTTATTCCCTCTTATTCATAAGGAACTGCTGCTAAGGCTAAATTCTTCCTCCAATAATCAAATTATTCCTAATTGCAACTCTGTACTGCTTCATTAATAATCTTGCTTGTAAATTATTCCATCTTAATTAATCTGAAAACTAACTCTGCCTATTTTTTCTGCATTATTCCTAATTGGGAATTAATTGGCTTGTGCAAATCATCATTGACTTATACTTTACTCACAATTAACATCCTACATGAGTATTTAAAGCTACAGTAACCACTGCTTCATATCAGTATAAAAGGAGGTGAAACTAATAGTTTCTGCAATTAGAAAATTCTGCAGTTGAGTTCCAACTAAAATAAGTATTACAACATTCTAATCTCTTTCATCAGTTCTTTCAACGTAAGAATAGTATCATCTGCATATAAGTTGATCTTAATATTATCCTCTTTATTCTCAAAACCTCTTATATTTTGATTACAATGGATAGAAACTGCTAAAGACTCAACTGATATAAGAAATAAAAGAGGTGAGAGGGGACATCCCTGTCTTACTCCGTTCATAAGTTTAAACCAATAAGAATAAAAACCATGCCCTACTACTCTAGCTGAGGGGCCATAATAAAGTATCATGATTTTGTCCATTATCTCATCATGTAGGCCAAAAGCTAATAATGCTTCTTTCACAAAGGACCAGCTGACCCTGTCGAAGGCCTTTTTGGCATCTAGCGACAGGGTCTGATTTGACCTAATCTAGAATGTCTAGCAATCTCCTAATATTGTTTACTGAGGATCTTCCTGGTACAAAACCCACTTGGTCCAAATGTATCACGGAGGGTATAATATTTTTAAGTCTTTCCACTAAGATGAATAATGCTTGATATCCACATTTAATAATGAGATAGGCCAGTAGTTCATAACATTATCTTGGTCTTACCCTGTTTGGGAATAGGGATTATATGGGCTTGAACTATTTCCTCTGGAATCTTACTAGATTTCCCCAAATCATTAAAGACTTTAGTAATATCCTTTATGATGTTGTCTTTCTTCAATATATAGAATAAGTTATTATACCCATCTGGGCAAAGAATTTTATTTTTCTTCAATTTTACAATGGCGAGTTAAATTTCTTTCTGAGTAAAAGGTTGGTTTAGTTTTATTAATTAAGCCTGAGAAATCTTAGGTAGATTAAGGTTTTCAAAGTATCTTTTAACTGCTTTGATTGGATCTGGATCTGGAAGATTATACAGTGTTTTATAAAAGTTTTTAAAAGTTTCTCCAATCTCTTTGGGTGACATCACCAATTTATCCCCATATTTAATTTTTGTGATAAATCTCTTTGCTTTTTCTTTTTTTAACTTATTGGTCATCTAATTACTAGTTTTATTACCTTGATAATACCACTTCCTTTTAAGGAATTCCAGTGCTATGTTAGCATTGGTGATTAATAAATCATTTTTTTTCATTGCCATTATATTTGTTGTGGTAGTGTTAGATGGATTTAATTTATTTTGTTTATTTAAACCATCCAATTCTATCTATAATTTTGTGAGGTTATTAAATGTATCTCTTTTGTCTATAGACCCTATTTTAATTATGTGACCCCCTAATCACGCATTCGTAGGCACACCATATGGTTGGTGTGTCTACCTCGGTATCTCTATTCTCCCTAAAATATAGATCTGTCATTGTCTTTAGAAAATCCAAATTACTCTTTTTTTTGTAAGAATTTGATCATTTAATATCCATTGCTGTCTCTGTTTTATATATGTGTCTTGAATATCTAAAACTATTCCATTATGTGGAAGAATCGCGTACCCAGGCCAGAGATTTCTTTGAGAGAAATGACACAGGGGACGTTTCAACTGCTACGTTGTGGTGTACTTTTAAAGCATATATGAGAGGATGTCTTATAAAAATGGATGCTAATATAAAAAAACAGAAAGGAAGAAAGCTGAATGAGCTTAATATAGTTCTGGCAAAATTGGAACAACTCCATAAGATTACTTTAGATCATGGAGTCTTGGAGGGCATTGAGGAGATTAGGAAAAAAATATTGGTAAGAACTCAAGAGAAAATAAACAAAGCAATGCCAACATTAAAACGAGGATGGTATTATGGAAATAATAAAACAGGTAAAAATCTTTCAAATAAATTAAAAAATAAGAATAAATCTCATTCTATACAAAATATTATAGTTGGAAACAAAAAACATTTTTCACCAACTCAAATAGCTAAAGCATTTGAAGAATACTATAAAAGTCTGTACAATTTAAAACTCAAGGAGCCTTCTAATTGGGAAATACAGCAGTTTTTTGATAAATTAAATTTGCCAAAAATAACCATTGAAAATTCGTTGAATAGTCCTTTCTCTATACAGGAGATTAGTAACACCATCAGTGCACTAAAAGAGGGCAAAGCCCCAGGCCCAGGTGGTTTCTCATCAATTTTTTATAAGAAAATAAATGGAATAATTTCACCATATATGTTGAGGACATTCAATGAATTTGCCAATCTTAAAGTAATTTCATCAGAAATGCTTCAGGCTTCCATAATGCCAATCCTAAAACCAGATAAAGATCCGGCATATACTTTAAATTATAGACCAATCTCTCTCATTAATCTAGATATTAAATTGTACTCCAGAATATTGGCTGACAGACTAAAAGGAATCATACCAGATATCGTGCACTTAGATCAGAGTGGGTTTGTGGAGGGCAGGGGTATGCCTGATAATATTCGGAAATTAATGACTGTTTTATATCATGCAAGTCAAAGCCCGTCCCCCTTTGCCTTGGTCACCCTTGATGCCGAGAAGGCTTTTGACCATGTTATTTGGAAATATCTGGAAGAGGTTCTGAGTGCCTTTGGTAGGCAGTGTTTTTAAGGAGTGTACAATGGCATTATATAAAGATCCCCAAGCTAGGGTCTCTGGATTTATGTTTCAATCAGAATGGTTCCCAATTAGAAATGGGACACGACAAGGTTGCCCCTTGGCTCCTTTGTTATATATCCTTTCTATAGAGCCTTTGGCAGCAGCCATTAGACAGAATGAGGATATCAGTAGCTTAAAGGTGAACAATTCGGAGAATAAAATTACACTCTATGCAGATGACGTCCTCCTGTCTCTCACGGACCCTATTAGATCTATTCCTACAGCATTCTGTCTGATTGAGGAATATGGTAAAATTTCTGGTTATAAAGTAAATATAAAAAAAACACAAATTCTGATAAAAGGTCTAACCGGGCCTAGCGAAAAAAATGCTTAAGGATGATTTTAAATGTGACTGGGAGGCTAGGAGCATAAAATAGCTAGGGGTGAGATTATTTTGGAATTATAGTGAAATCGGTAAACTTAACTATTTAGAAATAGTTACTCAATTTAGGAAAATCCTTAAATCATGGAGGGGTATAGAACTGTCATGGATGGGAAGAATTGAAGCAGTTAACTCCTATTTACTTCCTAAATTGACTTTTTATTTAGGAATCTCCCATTGATGGTGGATTCCCAGATGATACGCGGTCTTCAAAAACAGATTTCAGATTATATCTGGCAGGATAGGTGTCACAGAGTTTCACTGGAAATTCTACAGAGAGACTGCAGGGAGGGGGGAGTTTCCTTTCCGGATGTCCAAAAATTATATATGTTTGACATGACAGTTCATCTAGTTATGTGTGATAATTTTACATCCTCAAGACCAACTTGGCTAGATATCGAAAAAGCTGATCTTAGTAATATCGAGCCTATACACTTTATTTGGTGCGATAGCAAGCTTGTGAAAAGCATAAAATCTAATAATCCGATGAATAATACAATGATATATGTAGTAAAGCATTTAAAGAAAAAATATGGTACCAAATATATATCAAGAAGTGCCCCACTAGTATGTTTAAAATATTATATAAAAGATATAAATATTCAAGAATGGGTAAAGGGTGGAATTATAAATTTTGAGTTATTAGAGGGAAATTAAATCTTACATTTTCCAATGCTACAGCTTAAATTTAATCTCCCTCCTAAAGAATTATTTAATTGCTTAAGAATAAAATCCTTTATCTTAAGCAAAGAACTTTCGGAAAACACCCCAACTGATCAATTTATGGAATCTCATTATAGAAAAAAATTGCTTCCCAATTTAACAGATTTATGAAAAATCAAAAGCAAATAGATAAAGCATCAGCATTGATTAAATGGGAGCAAGATTTTCAATTTTCTTTTTCACTCAATTAGTGGTTAACGGGCCTACACTTATTGAAAAGACATATACATGGAGTAAATATAAGGGAAGTGTACTTTAAACTTGTCTATCGATGGTACCAAGTGCCCACCCGTCTTCATAAATTTCAACCTACACTCCTTCCAGACTGTTGGAGATGTGGTAGGGCACTAGGCTCTTTTTCTCACATATGGTGGGATTGTCATGAGCTGAATCCCATGAAATTAATACTATATGAGCTAGTAAGTTTTATTCTTGGGGTACAAGCAGATATAACTCCCCAACTGTTTTTGTTTCATTTAGAAATGCCAAGGGTTAATACAAATTGCAAAATCCTCTTGATTCATATTTTTATGGCAATTAAAATAGTTATGGCCAGAAACTGGAGAAATATAGGCCCATTAAATTGGCACGACATACGCTCACAAGTGGATTTCCAGTATAGAATGGAAGCAGGCATAGCATTAGACAGAGTATCTAAAGTGAAATATGACGGAATTTGGACCCCTTGGGTTAGTTATTTAAGATCAAATGAGTAAATCCCATACCCCATCAAATCCCCAATTTCACCTTCTTTCAGTCAGGCAAGTTAGTGTTTCTTTGTATGAGTATGAATGAAGTTAATTTGTTTACCTTTTCTTTTTTTTTTTTATGTTTAACTTTGTAAATGTAGCAATATATTATAGTAATTTATTCAGAAAATATGTTATATGGTGAATTTTAAGTGAAAAATAAAGATATATAAAACTATTCCATTATGATCCGACCAAGAAATAGTTACTATGAATATCTTTTTAATCTTATTGGTCAGATTGATATCACTTAGTACAACATCAATTCTTGAATATAGAAGATGAGTTTTTGAAAAATAAGTAAAATCAAGTTCCTTTGGTTGGAACACATGACACAGATCTAGCAAAGCATGGTTTCTTATTAATTCACTCAGCCTTTTAGCATTATTTTGAGTATTTATGTTGGTTTTAGGAACCCCCATATTTTTACAATCATACATTATGTCCATGACACAGTTAAAATCCCCCATCACAACAACAGATCCTTGTTTAAACTTTTATATTTCTTTAAAGATATTCTTTATAACTTTAATTTGACATTGGTTAGGTTAACGATCGTATATACAGGGAGTGCAGAATTATTAGGCAAGTTGTATTTTTGAGGATTAATTTTATTATTGAACAACAACCATGTTCTCAATGAACCCAAAAAACTCATTAATATCAAAGCTGAATATTTTTGGAAGTAGTTTTTAGTTTGTTTTTAGTTTTAGCTATGTTAGGGGGATATCTGTGTGTGCAGGTGACTATTACTGTGCATAATTATTAGGCAACTTAACAAAAAACAAATATATACCCATTTCAATTATTTATTATTACCAGTGAAACCAATATAACATCTCAACATTCACAAATATACATTTCTGACATTCAAAAACAAAACAAAAACAAATCAGTGACCAATATAGCCACCTTTCTTTGCAAGGACACTCAAAAGCCTGCCATCCATGGATTCTGTCAGTGTTTTGATCTGTTCACCATCAACATTGAGTGCAGCAGCAACCACAGCCTCCCAGACACTGTTCAGAGAGGTGTACTGTTTTCCCTCCTTGTAAATCTCACATTTGATGATGGACCACAGGTTCTCAATGGGGTTCAGATCAGGTGAACAAGGAGGCCATGTCATTAGATTTTCTTCTTTTATACCCTTTCTTGCCAGCCACGCTGTGGAGTACTTGGACGCGTGTGATGGAGCATTGTCCTGCATGAAAATCATGTTTTTCTTGAAGGATGCAGACTTCTTCCTGTACCACTGCTTGAAGAAGGTGTCTTCCAGGAACTGGCAGTAGGACTGGGAGTTGAGCTTGACTCCATCCTCAACCCGAAAAGGCCCCACAAGCTCATCTTTGATGATACCAGCCCAAACCAGTACTCCACCTCCACCTTGCTGGCGTCTGAGTCGGACTGGAGCTCTCTGCCCTTTACCAATCCAGCCACGGGCCCATCCATCTGGCCCATCAAGACTCACTCTCATTTCATCAGTCCATAAAACCTTAGAAAAATCAGTCTTGAGATATTTCTTGGCCCAGTCTTGACGTTTCAGCTTGTGTGTCTTGTTCAGTGGTGGTCGTCTTTCAGCCTTTCTTACCTTGGCCATGTCTCTGAGTATTGCACACCTTGTGCTTTTGGGCACTCCAGTGATGTTGCAGCTCTGAAATATGGCCAAACTGGTGGCAAGTGGCATCGTGGCAGCTGCACGCTTGACTTTTCTCAGTTCATGGGCAGTTATTTTGCGCCTTGGTTTTTCCACACGCTTCTTGCGACCCTGTTGACTATTTTGAATGAAACGCTTGATTGTTCGATGATCACGCTTCAGAAGCTTTGCAATTTTAAGAATGCTGCATCCCTCTGCAAGATATCTCACTATTTTTGACTTTTCTGAGCCTGTCAAGTCCTTCTTTTGACCCATTTTGCCAAAGGAAAGGAAGTTGCCTAATAATTATGCACACCTGATATAGGGTGTTGATGTCATTAGACCACACCCCTTCTCATTACAGAGATGCACATCACCTAATATGCTTAATTGGTAGTAGGCTTTCGAGCCTATACAGCTTGGAGTAAGACAACATGCATAAAGAGGATGATGTGGTCAAAATACTCATTTGCCTAATAATTCTGCACTCCCTGTAAAACATTATTTATATCTCCGACTACAATTATATATTTTCCCTCCGGATCATACTTTTGAAATAAAATCTTTACATCCAATTACTTTGAGAACAAAATAGCTACTCCTCTTTTCCTTTTTTCTTTTAACCCCTTAAGGACACATGACATGTATGACATGTCATGATTCCCTTTTATTCCAGAAGTTTGGTCCTTAAGGGGTTAAAGAAGCCCCAAGAATGAGAGGAAAATTTCTGGATTTTATCCTAAAATAATCCTCCACCCTCCATTGGGTCACTTGCAGTCCACAGATTTCAACTCTTCTTTCTCAAGGTTATATCTTTTTCGGGGGGAAATTAATACCTTGCTCATAAAGAGATAACCTAGGGTTCTATACAACCCTATCACATAGGAGTAAAAATTCCCCTTTATGACTGACACGCTACCCCACATATATTCAACCATAAACAATCAAAAGAAAAAAAATATTGGTAGAACACAACCTCCCCACGGTGTTCAAGCTGGTAAGGATAGAATGGGCTATTAAAGTCTATAGGTGAGAGGGGCTGAGAAGTGAAGACCCATAGTTAAAAATAAAAAATAAAAAATAAAAAAAATAAAAACATCAATCTATATACTCTGATCTGATCTGATAACTTGTGCTAGGTTGAACAGCAACTTAGAACTTAATGTGCTACAAATACGAATTACATAATTTGTGCTCTATTCTATATTATTATTATATTTTTTCTTTTTCTATTTATCAAGTTCTTTAGTTATATTTTCTTTAAAGTAACCCCTTAATACTTGATTTATCTCTAGTCATTCTGTGTATTAGTTTTCTCTGCAAAATATACCAAATATCACTTTATATCTTTATTCCCATATCTTATCTTATCGTGAATATTATTCGACAGATTTGTTAGGCTATTTAATGCCCGCAAAAAAATAAATAAAATAAAAAAATACATTTTTTAGAAAAGGACATATATATTGTCTGGTATGTTCTGGTGGCAATGCCTAGATTGTGCTTCACCCTTATATATTACATTCTTGTTATATTTCTCCTAAAACTTTGTGTGAGGTAACTTCTGGGTTACAAAATTCCTATTTTATTCTACATCAATTCCTATAACAGTGTTCTTGTGTCTAAGTTTACCATTCTCTTATTTTCCCCTTCTTTTAACTTCCCTTCTTAAGCACATTATAGTGGTTATGATGATTCTACACCCTTTTAATTTAATCTATGTCTTTAGTCAATCTATAGTATGCAAAGTATATTCCCTTGTTTTCCACTACAGTGTACAAGTAGGTGCAAAATACTAAAGTGCACTGAATTTTTAAAGTACAAACAATCAATCCATAAGCGCATTATAAATTTAAAGTGCATAGAATAATAGTATAATAGTATAAACTATATCACCAAAACACTAAATACACTATCTACTTGATAAAGTGCAATAATCCACTATGGATATTCAATTATATTCAAAGTATAAGTCAAGTTAAAAAACAAAACAAAACAAAAAATATCCAGTTCACTAGTTGTCTTCTTCTGTTGTTCTTGACTTAGATTTTCTTTGTCTTCAGACCTTCTCTCCTGACTTTGAAGCTTCAAGATTAGTGATGTCCCGAACGGTTCGCCGGAGAATAGTTCCCGGCGAACATAGCGTGTTCGCATTTGCCACGGATGGCGAACATATGCGATGTTCGGTCCGCCCCCTATTAATTTACTAATACTAAGTAAAACTTACTTAGTATTAGTAAATTGTGCCCCTACTCGCGGTGTGGCTGCTCACTGTTAAAAAAAAAAAGGGTCCCCCCCGGTGGGGGCCCTAAATACTAATAGGGGGGGGACCTATTGTCCTCCCCCCGGCCCCCACCCCTGAGCGGTGGGTGGGGGCACTAAAAATAACAATAAGGGGGGACCTACTGTCCCCCCCGGCCCCCACCCCTGAGCGGTGGGTGGGGGCCCTAAAATTAACAATAAGGGGGGACCTACGGTCCCCCCCCGGCCCCCACCCCTGAGCGGTGGGTGGGGGCCCTAAAATTAACAATAAGGGGGACCTACTGTCCCCCCCCCGGCCCCCACCCCTGAGTGGTGAGTGGGGCCCCTAAAATTAACAATAAGGGGGGACCTATTGTCCCCTACGGCCCCCACCCCTGAGCGGTGGGTGGGGGCCCTAAATACAAAGGGTGGGGGGGACCATAGTCACCCCTCCCCCCAAAAAAAATGATCTCCCTACCTACCCCCTCACCCTAAAAATAACGAGGGGGGGACCTTTAACTAAAAACCTGTAAAAAAAAAATTAGATAAAAATAACTTACCATTTGATGTTTTCTTTCTTCTACAATCTTCTTTTTTCAGCCCCAAAAAAGGCCAAATAAAAAGCCATAAGAACCGACGCAATTAAAAAAAAAACAAACAAAAAAAACGAGCGCACAAAAAAAGAATCCATCTTCACCCATGGAGGGCTCCGCGCAGACTGAGCTCTGCAGGGTGGGGGAAGGCTTATAAAGCCTTGCCACGCCCTGCAATTAGGCTAAGAACACTCTGATTGGCTGGTTTAAGCCAATCAGAGTGCTCTTTGTCATTTTACACAGCGTGGGAAAATTCAAAAGAACTTTCCCACGCTGTGTAAAATGACAGAGCACTGTGATTGGATGGCTTGAAATCCAGCCAATCACAGTGCTCTGTGTCATTTTACACAGTGTGGGAACATTGAACTTTCCCACGCTGTGTAAAATGATACAGAGCACTGTGATTGGATGGATTTCAAGCCATCCAATCACTGTGCTTTGTGTCATTTTACACAGCGTGGGAAAGTTCAATTTTCAGATTTCTTGCACTGTGATTGGATGGATTTCAAGCCATCCAATCACAGTGCTCTGTGTCATTTTACACAGCGTGGGAAAGTCTCCCCCCCCCCCTTCAACCACTATTGTGGCCAGAAAGAGTCCCTGTGGGTTTTAAAATTCGCCTGCCTATTGAAGTCTATGGCGGTTCGCCTGGTTCGCGAACATTTGCGGAAGTTCGTGTTCGCGATTCGCGAACCGAAAATGTTATGTTCGCGACATCACTATTCAAGATTCTTGTCTTGCATTCAAGTTTTCAATTTTGTTGTTTTATCGAAGGACTCTCTTTTCCTTTCATAGTATAGGGTGATTCCAGATGGATATCTTCAAGCATATTTGATCTTTAATTTCCTCACTATCCATTTATATGGATTAAAAGTTTTCCGCAGGGATCTTGTATTAAACCTTTATTTGTTCATATGGGGATCCTTTTAAAAAAAATTCAAACATTGCTTTCATAATTTGATCTTTGTATCTAACAGTGTGGCAGCATATCAGAACGTCTCTTGGAGTATTGATATTTCGATCTACAAATGGATGAACACGATGAAATCTTTCTAGAAAGTAAATTTTTGTTCGGGGTTAATCCTAAGAACGTAAAAAATTCTGTCAAGTATTTTTCCAAATCAGTTTGCATCCATATTCTGGAATGCCTCTGATCCTTATTTAACAGTGTCTAGCTCTTTCCTCCATTTCTGCTGATTTTGCTTCTATCTCTTCCATTTCTTTTTCTAAGGATTTAATTCGGTCATTCTGTGTATTTAGTTGGAATGTGAGATTCTCCATAAGCTGTTCAGATTTCTTGAATCTTTCTCCTAGTTAGCTTAAATCATTGCTCAATTCCATCTTGTTTCTGTTCATTTCTTCTTTAAATTTCAGAAACTGAGAGTAAAGAGCAGCTTTTAAAAGGTCTGTAGTAATGTTTTGTATTTCAGGCCATGATGAGTCTGCACTATCTTTTGTGTTATCAATATCTTTAGAGGAGTTAAAATTTAAAGTGAAATCGCCAGAGATCCTTTTTTTTTCCTTGCAAATCTGCTTGTGGGGAAAACAAAATTGACAGACTTTCGTCTTATTTATCATTTAGTTTTTTTTAATTAATATGTTTTTTTTCCAATTATAGATATAACCAGGTAACTTCAAATAGATCAGATTTAATTATGGCTTATTCAGAGACCGCACTTTTTCTACCCAATCATACAGGCAAAGTATTCCCCACAAGGAAAAAAATAGAATAAAATAAAATATCACAGAAGGAATTTTTTTTTATCTGGTCCTCTTCTCTCTTTCCTTTCCCTCTTTTCCTTCTCCTTTTTCCTTTCTCCTTTCCTTCCACTTTCCTTCTTTCATTCCCCTTTCCCTTTCTTTCCACCCTTTTTTTACGCCCTTTCCATTAAGTTTCTATTTTTAAATTTCCACCTAAGCACTTTAAGCAGTCTTCTTTTATGCTTCTGTTGCACTTTACTGAAAAAATTCACTGCGTCCTGGCTTTAGGAGTTGCTTGTCACGATATCCCCGTTAATAATTGATCGGCTCTGTGTATTGACTACAACACCCTTCTTAGTCTGACTCCATTCAGCTCACTCTCCGACTCTCTGGCTCCTTAATTTATAAGGTTGTCCTCATTTGTACTTCATTAAAATATAGTCTCACCTTCAAGATGCACAATGACCTCTGCAGCCACTGTACTGTTTGAGGTGTCATAAATATTATGTTAGATGATAAACCTGAATTTATCTACAGAGCAAAACAGGACCATGACATAGAATACCAGCTAGGTGATCTCAGCCAATGAGTTCAGTCCTGCAAAGTCCAGCTTTGTCCTATAGAGCAGTCCAGCTTTTCCTTTTGGAGACAACTGTATGCAGAGGAGGTAGATCTGGGCAACAAGCAAGAAAACAGTGTTTCTGTCCACCTCATTTGCACTGTCTGTCATGCCAAGGGTGCATAATTCATTATTGCATAATAGAATATTAAAGTAATTTGTGTAGTGCATATATGAATTGACCACTTGGTAAGGATCAGATGACAGAAGGGGCAGTGGTGTACATACCGGGGTTGCAGGGGTTCCACTGTACCCACTGTGGCCAGCCTCTTCTCCTGGGGGGCCCAGGAGCCGGCCACCTCAGGGCCCCCCGAGGCTGGCCCTGGTGTCACCCGGTGGGCAGGCTGGCGGGCGCGTGATGGAGCATTCTCCCCTGTACGCAGCGCGGGAGGGAGCTGAAGAGGAAGCACTCAGGGGAGAGTGCTCCCTTGCGCGCCCACCAGCCAGCCTGCCCTCCCAGCAGCACCACTGGACCCGAGGGAATCCCCTCAGCATTCCCAAATGTAAGGAGGCTGGGGGGGATTCAATTTTTTTAAAAACGTGTGTGTTAGAGTGTGTGTGTTTTAGTGTTAGTTTTTGTGTTAGTGTGTGTGTTAGTGTTAGAGTGTGTGTGTTAGTGTGTGTGTGTGTGTGTTAGAGTGTGTGTGTTAGTGTGTGTGTGTTAGTGTTTGTGTGTTAGTGTTAGAGTGTGTGTGTGTGTTAGAGTGTGTCAGTAAGTGTGTTACTGTGTGTGTCTGTTACTGAGTGTGTTAGTTTGTGTTCGTCTGTTAGTGAATGTGTGTTTTGTAAGTGAGTGAGTGTGTGTATATAATTTTCACAATGAGAATCGCGGAAGCTCCTCTAGCGGCTGTCAATGAGACAGCCATTAGAGGCTGGATTAACCCTCAGTGAAACATAGCAGTTTCTCTGAAACTGCTATGTTTTCAGCTGCAGGGTTAAAACTAGAGGGACCTGGCACCCAGACCACTTCATTGAGCTGATGTGATCTGGGTGTCTGTAGTGGTCCTTTAAGTGTATGTGTATCTGCATGCACTGGCATACATACCGCGGCCACAGCCCTGCAACCAGGTGCCCGCCGCCATGTGTTGCGGCACCGGCCCACGCAGAGTAAGCACGCGGGGGGTCCCATGGAACAGATTTCGCACCGGGGCTCTATGGGTTGTGTGTATGCCACTGAGAAGGGGTAGTGTGAATTGCACAGGAATGTGAAAGGGAGCAGATGGTTTACCATATGCATTGATCCTTTGAATAAGCAAAAGCTCTATAAGGTGTGAGAAGTCACACATAAGTGGCCTGGAAGTCTAGCTCCAATGTAAACTTGCTGACTTCAGCCATATGGCGTCTTCCTTTTAATTGATGAGTGGATATCTTTGAAATGTTAATGATCATTAGCTTTCAAGAAAAGAGAAAAAACAAACCTTGTGTTCCAGTATCATACCCAAAAAAAGAAACATTAATATTTACCTACAGAATAATAATTACGCCTCATTTTTGTTATATTTGGAATGTGACCAGCACAATCTTCTAATCAAACCCACACATGATTTGCATAACTTAACCATAGGGGAAGGGATTGTGATGTCCGCTATATTGGGTCACAAGTAAGAAGTGTGACATATCTATGGATTGGGAAAATGGTAACAAATTCATAGATGCAATTATTATTTCTGTGGCAAGTACATGAGAGAAGATAGAACCAAATGTTTCCATTTGGATTGATGTTGGTCTGAAACATAAGGGTGTGGTCACTTATAGTTACTGTAGGTATGCCTTATCTCCACCTCTGGGCAGGGCTTGGTAATCCACAGGGTATATGTCTAATGATTCTGAAATGTGTCTTTGTACTTGCTTGAGGGCCCAGAATCTAATTCTAAATGAGTCACCATCATTCTTACCAGAGACCCCCTGGGGCAGAAGTTTTAATCTGAAAAGCTGAGTAAGTGATTAGGACTTCTGTTATTTTATCCCTTTTGTTTTTATCTGTTGTTGGTGAAAATAATTAGTTTAGCATCTATTTTTTGTATGCACTGTGTCTATTTTTTGCTCATAATAATTATTCTTTTATTTACTTCTACCTTTGTCTGGTAGAGAATCACGTTACCTGAAGAGACTATTTAGTATTTTGCAATTACATAGATATTGTGCTAAGTTACCTTTGGTGGGTTTTTATTATTAAGTTACCTGGGGGACCAAAGTACCCCATTTTATAAATTATTATAAAGTCTTGGTGGTGGCAGCATTAATAAAGTAATATTTATATTATTATATTTAAGTGTGGGTGGTCTTAACCCCTTAAGGACACATTATGGAAATATTCAGACATGATTCCATTTTATTTCTGAAGTTGTGTCCTTAAGGGGTTAAGGGGGATTTTATCATTATCTAGTGCAGACAAACAGTGAACTTTAACTCTTTCACCACCACAACTACGTCACACACACTCCTGAAGTAGGGTGTGTTCATGACACTGTCAACCTTAGTCTTGCCTGAACTGAACTAAATGGTTTGTAGCTTGCTAAATCTTTAATATACATTTAAAAAAAACAAAAAAAAAACAGAGCATCAAATTAATAAAGGGTAATACAAGTTATAGGTGTTTTAAATGTTTTATCCAGTGCTGTAATTTCAGGAAAGTTACATACCTGCTTTAAGCCACGACCTCTCCACACATATCTGATTTTCACCACACTTCAGGTGTCCACTATGATCTAACAAGATCCCAAAGCCACCTACAATTTTCTCCTATTGCTGCAAATCCAAATTCAAAGTTTCTGTTCTCTTACCTATTCTATCATATATTAATAATATTAATGAACTTTGATCAGGGACAATGAGATTGCGTACTTCCTTTGCAGAGGTATGGATGTATTTAAAGTAGTTATGTGACAGGCATTTATTACCTCAGTTAAGAGAGAGAAATAAGTCAAATTAGATATTGAGTCTGCCATGTGTCAAGATTGGGTAACCCATGAACACAGAGTACAGGGAAACAGTAACCAGGATGAATGAATAAAATGAGAGAAGGTAGGTATACCAGACCTTAGAGTAGCCAGTTTAACGTGTGCCCTAGATAGGCAAAAAATACAGAGTCAGAATAGGAAGCCAAGGTCAGGGACACTAGAGATATTTAATCACAAAATAACAAGCCGAAGTCAGGGAATCAGAAAAGTCAAATACAAAGCCGGGTCAGTAACAAGAAAAACAAATAACAATTACATAGTATGTACTCTCAGGCAGAATAAACCATGACAGGGCAATGATGTCCAGAAAGAGGGAATTATAAATAGGACGAACAAAACTCATATTGGACAGCATGATCACCTTGCACCAAATCACACAAAGGGGTGTGATCTGTGAAGGGCAGATGATGTGTCCCAATAATATGACCTGTCACTTTAATGCCATAAAAAACCTACACCTACAGGGTCCTGTAATTTTCAAGGACTCCTGTAGGTGGCGCATGGCTGCCAAAATGACCAGGAAGCCTTGCCAGAAGACAGACCGTGCAGGGGCTTCTCTGCACGAGGAGCAACGAAACACCACACAGCGTTCACTGTGGCTGGGACCCCCTGAAAGCCGCACATTCCACAGGGCATACTGAGGTATGACAGTGCCCCCTTCTTTAACTCCGCCCAAAGGACGGGAACCACCAGGCTGATCAGGATGGGCAGAATGGAAACACCAAACCAAACAAGGAGCATGGAGATCAGAAACACTCACCCAGGAACGTTCCTCAGGATCACTACCCCTCCAATTGACTAGGTACTGTAAATGACCCCTAGAAAAGTTAGAATCAAGAACATGTTGCCCCTTGTACTTCTCTTGCCCTTGGACTAGAGGTGGAGGAGGAAGAGAATGAGGCACAAAGAAATACTTATTTCAGACAAACAAGAGCATAAGAGACATGATTAATCTTGGGAAGGACTTGAAAGGGACCGATGAAACAAGGAGACAATTTCATGTAGGGACACGGAGATGAATATTCCTAGTGAAAAACCAGACCCGGTCTCCAACATGATAAGTAGGAGCAGCCCTCCGACACTTGTCCGCATTGCAACTTCTGGGAGGCATAAGTCTTGGACAGGATTTATTTGCCCCTCTCCCATATAGAAGACAGATTAGAAAGATGCTGGTCAAGGACAGGCATACCCACATTAGAAAACACAGCAGGAAGGATGGTGGGATGATCACCGTAAGTGACAACAAATGAGGACTTGCGATCAGCATTGTTCCTAGCGAACTCGGTCCACGAGAGCAATTCTGACCAATTATCCAGATCTTGAGACACAAAGCAACGTAAGAACTGTTCCATAGATTGATTGGTACGTTTGGCAGCAAGGTAAGATTGTTAATGGTAGGCAGAGGAGGATGCAAGTTGAATGTTCAGTTCCGAACAGATGTTACGCCAAAATCTGGACACAAACTGACTCCCTCGATCAGACACAATTTCAATAGGAATCCCATGCAACCGAATCTCCTCTCTAGCAAAGATTACAGCTAATTTTGAGGAGGTAAGCAACTTAGAAAGTGGTATAAAATGACCCATCTTGGTAAATCTATCAACAATGGTTAGAATAGTAGTGTGTCCTTTGGATGGAGGTAAATCAACCACAAAATCCATAGTGATATGGGACCATTGCCTGAACGGGACAGGAAGTGGGTGAAGGAGACCATTGGGTAATTGATAAGCTACTTTGTTTTAGGAACATATCGTACACGCTACAATGTAGTCATTTATGTCACGTCTTGCAGAAGGCCACCAGAAGTGCCACAAAATAGCAGAGGTGTTTTTTTTTAACAAATAGATGACCAGCCATTTTAGTGTCATGGAAAAGATGCAACAATTCCTTTTGATGAGCAGTAGAAACAAAGAGCCTACCCAATGGCGTATTAGGATGGGCACTGATTTGATCAGCTTGGATAGACTCTAATAATGTGGAAGAAAGAGTTGTGAAAGTAGCAGCAATGATATTATCAACGGGAACAATAGAAGAGACCCTGGAACCTGAATTATCAATCTCATCATACATGCGAGATAGAGCGTCTGCCTTGGCATTACGCGAACCTGACCTGTAAGTAATAAGGTAATTAAACCTGGACAGAAACAAAGACCATCTATCTTGTCTGGGATTCAGTCTTCCAGCATCTCCAATATTGGAGAGCTTCTTATGATCGATGAGAATCATAACTGGAGTTTGAGGCCCTTCCAAGAGATGTCTCCATTCTTTGAGGGCTGGTATAATAGCTAGCAACTCCCTATTACGTATGTCATAACTTTTTGCAGCTGAAGATAACTTTCTCGAGAAAGAAACACATGGATGAAGGGGTTTCTCTGGGCTTTCTCTTTTGAACAGGATAGCACCTACATCTAATTCAGATGCATCCACCTCCATGACGAAGTGACAATCAGGATCAAGATGCATCAGAACAGGAGCAGTAGAGAAGGACTGTTTCAGGACCTCAAATGCCCTTATGGCTTCTTGTGACCACACCTTGGAGGATCCATTTTTAGTTAAAGCAGTGATAGGTGCTATGATAGAAGAAAAAATATATATGTACCTTCTATAATAATTGCAAAACCAATGAATCTTTGGATGGCTTTGAGGCCATGAGGTAAGGGCCATTCAAGAACTGCTGAAACTTTCTTAGAATCCATTTGTCAACCTTTTGATGTAATGATGTAACCCAGAAACTGAACCTTTTCCTGGTCAAACATACACTTCTCAAGTTTACAAAATAAACCATTGTCAAGGAGTTGCGAACCTTGCAAACATTTATAGGATGTGTCTTTATATAAGGTGAATGTATGAGTATATCATCCAGGTACACAAGTACAAAACTGTTTTAAAAGTATCTGAGTACATCATTAATACGGTCTTGGAAGATGGCAGGGGCATTGCGCCGAAAGGCCAGTGCTTTGTCTGTCAATAAATTCACGATAAAGGCTATCTTAGCCCTATCTGTAGCAAATATCCTGGGTGAGAGCTCAAAATGAGCTCCAACCTGATTTAGAAAACCCCGGTAATTTGCTGGATCTCCTCTGTATATAGGGGGAGGAGTGAGGTGAAAGCAAGGACTAGGCCCAGCTGCCTGTGCAGAATCAGGAGGAGTCTGGCTACTACTAATAGACTGGCTGTGATTCCTGTTGGAGACATGCAGTCCTAGCCAGTATCGTCTGTAGAGCTTGAGCAAACTGGTCCATCCTGTGTTCCATTTGTTCCAAACAGCTTTGTTATTGGTCAGCTGTTGCCGTAAGCCTGTAGGGTCCATGGCCCTGTCGTAATGTCAAGATTGGGTAACCCCCACACACAGAGTATAGGAAAACAGTAACCAGAATGAATGAAAAAAAGAGAGAAGGTATGTATTCTAGATTTTAGAATGGCTGTGTTAACGTCTGCCCTAGATAGGCGATATATACAGAGTCAAAATAGGAAGCCAAGGTCAAGGACATCAGAGATACTCAAATACCAAATGACAAACCAAAGTCAGGGTACCAGTAAATCAGAAAAGTCAAATAAAAAGCCAGGTCAGTAACAAGAAAAACAAATAACAACTACACAGTAAGCACTCTCGGGCAGAATAAATTACGACAGGGCAATGATGTCCAGAAAGAAGGAAGTATAAATAGGGAGAACAAAAATCTTATTGGACAGCATCATCACTCTGCACCAAATCAAACAAAGGGGTGTGATCTGTGAAGGGCAGATGATGTGTCCAAATAATATGACCTGTCACGTTAATGCAATTAAAAGCCTACACCTACACGGTCCTGTAATTTCCAAGGACTCCTGTAGGTGGCGCAATGCTGCCAAAATGATCAGGAAGCCTTGCCAGAAGACAGATTGTGCAGAGGCTCTGCACATGGAGCAATGAAACACCGCACGGTGTTCACTGTGGCTGGGACCCCCTGAAAGCCGCACATCTCACACAGCATACTGAGGTATGACAGTGCCCCCTTCTTTAACTCCGCCCAAAGGACGGGAACCACCAGGCTGATCAGGATGGGCAGAATGGAAACACCAAACCAAACAAGGAGCATGGAGATCAGAAACACTCACCCAGGAACGTTCCTCAGGATCACTACCCCTCCAATTGACTAGGTACTGTAAATGACCCCTAGAAAAGTTAGAATCAAGAACATGTTGCACCTTGTACTCCTCTTGCCCTTGGACAGCATGGGACCAGAGACTTCCTGGCTGCTGCGCGGCACCCCCTGGAAGCCGTATGCGTCACGCGGCATACCAAGGTATGAAACCATGGCCACACATTTTGCACAGTATTTGTTCCTCCTACCACATGCTCATTCCCCTTGGCATTTTAATAACATTGTTCTTTTGTGAGAGTGGAATATGTTAGTGTTTTACATTTACTTTGTGTTTTAATGACAATATATATTAGTTTTACCAAGGTAAAAATAACCAAATCATTTCAACATTCTTGTGATACAGAAAAAGTTTGATTTGATAATGCGAAGACATGATACAGTTTTTAATTGCATAATTATATTGTGTAACTTAGGGTTTGACACTTTGACTGTAGTATTATTTGTCTACAAATATTGCTAATTACATTTATTAAACTTAGTTAAAGCTAATGTACTGACAATTTTATATCAAGACATATTTTTAATTTGAACCTTTATATTGTCATAATGATAAATTCTAGAAATATTGTTTTTTGTGTTTCAGTGGATGCTCACAGTGCCATGTTTTGTATCCAATATAGGCCCCAATGTAATATTGTTGAGATTCTTTCACTGACACAGTGGCTGTGATACACACACTGCTATCTATCTTTTTAGCATAACCTTTATATTCTCCAGTTGGTGTCCAAGCATTTTAAATATTTTTATTATATGGATGATGTGACAAACTCCTCTTTTCCTGTGAGTTTGCCACGAGTTTTTGGAGGGGCTTGTTTGCCAGTCTCCTGCCCCAGGACTATGACCCATGTATTAGACCCGGCTTCAGCACTGTGGACAGGCTTTGTTAATGCCTTTCCTCTCTGCGGTTCGGTATATGGGGCTACCAAATGGATTCTACTTATGGTGTTCATTTACCGAACAAACAATCGAACAGTCGGACCACACACAAGTGTAGTGTGCAGCCCAGGCTGAGAGTTAACCACAGCCAATGTGACGAACAGCTAGGTGGTCGCCATTCGTATAGTCGAACACATGTTCAGCTTTGTTTTGCCATAGAGTTCATGGAACTAAAATCGGACACTTGTCGGCACGAACACCGCTGGGACTTCCCCCTCCATCTATGTTCGTATAAATATGCACGAACAGAGCGCCGTTCGGTAGAAATAATCTACCGAACACACTTCAACCCTGACTTTGTGCACAAACGGTCCCGTTTCGAATATTTGAAGCGCACTTTTATCACTGGAAAAGCCTAATTCTCTGGAACTATTTTGGGCATGAAGCCATGCTTCCGGCTGGTCAAAAAGAGACTTTCATGAAACTTTTGAACCCCTGCTCTGATCTGGGTGATTTTTGGATATGTTGTTCACACAGATCGGGGCTATCTGGGGATCCCAACCAAGCTGCGGCGGTTCGTGGGGTTTGCAGTGGTTATGATGCTCCAGCACAGTGCTTATGGTACTTGTCAGTACTAGGAAGCAGCGATTGACTAAGGTACCCAGTCGGGGTGCAGTCGGTCTGTCACAGATGGTAACTATTTTGGATATTGAGCTTGAATACTTTGACCCCATGGGCTTTAATTGAACTGACCACCTTCTTCTAATATACATGAAATATACATAATTAGCTAGTTGACTAACCTTAGTTGATATTTACATGCGGATCACAACCTATTTTTTCCTAACTCACTCTAGTTACCTTTTTTATTTTACATATTTAAGTATGTCCTAATTTTCAATATTTTTAGTTTAACATTATTTTATTTCAGAATCTTGTTGAATGTTATTCATTTTTTGGACAGTAAGAATAACTCTAAAATGCTGAGAGGTTGTTGCTTGTTTGTAAAACATTGGTATGGTTGTATTGTTTTTTGTCACTGTCAGACATACGTTTTTCTAACCTTTTACATCCATTTCTCAGTGTTATTTTGAAAGGAACATTCTGATCACCAATACAAATAAAGTGTATTGCATATGTGTGGCCTTATATTCATGCTATGGTTTTTGTACCTGTTCAAATTTATGTAGATTCGCTAAAAAAGCTATGCTACTGCATTCTGCAAAACAATCCTGCACCTTAGCCATGCATCCCTTTTTCATAAAACATCTTTCTGTTTTTAAGATATACAGTGTAGATGAGCAAATGAAAGATCAGTGTGAGTTGAACTACTGACTTGACTGTTGACTTATATATAGTACAGTTGTAATCAAAATTATTCAACTTCCATTGAAAGATAGGTTTATTGTCAACATTTACAGACTTTCATCTGGTTGCAATGAACAAATGAAACAAAAGTAATTGAAAATCCTAACACAATGAATTCTTCAAGTGGTTGCAAATGCAACACCATAAATATAATCCCTCACAACTAGTGATGTCCCGAACTGTTCGCTGAACGGTTCGCGGACGGTTCGCCACGAACGGTTCGCCACGGACTCATCATTGAGTAAACTTTGACCCTGTACCTCACAGTCAGCAGACACATTCCAGCCAATCAGCAGCAGACCCTCCCTCCCAGACCCTTCCACCTCCTGGACAGTATCCATTGTGAAGCTGCATTCTTAGTGAGCTGTCCAGGAGGTGGGAGAGTCTGGGAGGGAGGGTCTGCTGCTGATTGGCTGGAATGTGTCTGCTGACTGTGAGGTACAGGGTCAAAGTTTACTCAATGATGAGTCCGCGGCGAACCGTTCGTGGCGAACCATTCGCGAACCGTTCGGTGAACAGTTCGGGACATCACTACTCACAACAGCACACATATGCAAAACAGATGTTGTCTCAGGCATACCCGATGAAACTAGTCACGGGCTTCACCAAGTGTTTGAGCTGGAACACTTGACAAACCTGAAATGGCTAGGGATTTGTTGAGTGTCAGGTTTGACTACATGTTAAAAACAGGGCTCAATCAAGAAATTGGTCCATGACGTTAAGAGAAAAGATCACCTTCAGAAATTAGGAACAGGATCCAAAAAGATAGTGAAGACACTGAGTGGACTGCAAGTACAAAGTGGAAGGAACTGTGATTAAACTACCTGGAAAGGGCAGAAAAAGGAAAATATCAATGGATGCATTCAGGTTTCTGAGAAGGCAGGTGGTGAAAAACCCTTGAGTGACTGCAAAAGACCTGCAGCAAGAATTGGTGGCAACAGGCACTGAGGCCTCAATAAGCACAGTAAGTGCATACTAAACGCAGATGGTTTGCATTCCAGAACTGCAAAATGTACACCAGTACTGACCCAACAGCACAAGAAAAGTTGTCTCCAAATTGCTCAGAATCATATAAATAAGTCACAGATATTTTGGGATTCAGTTCTGTGGAGCAATGCAATAAAACTGAAACTGTGTGGCCCAACGGATCAGTAGTATGTCTGGAAGAAGAAGAATGAAATATACTCTGAAAAGAACACTCTGCCTACAGTTAAGCATAGTGGTGGTTTGGTGATGCACTGGGTCTGCTTTGCATCCTCTGGCACTGGAAACCTGCAGAGTGTGGAAGGCAAGATAGATTTATTGAAGTATCAGGAAATCCTAGACGAAAACATCATGCCTTCTGTGAGGAATCTGATGCTTTTACGTCATTGGACCTTCCAACAAGACAATTATCACAAGCATACCTTAAATTCCACCAAGGATTGGTTGCAGAAGAAGTCCTGGAAAATTCTACAGTGGCCATCACAGTAACCTGACTTGAACCCCATAGAAAATCTCTGGTGGGATTTGAAGAAGGTGCTTGCAGCATGCAAACCCAAAAAATATTACTGAATTGGAGGCCGTTGCTCATAAGCAATGGGCTAAGATTCCTCAGGAATGCTGCCATAAGCTGGTGTCTAGCTATGCATCTCGTTTGCAGCAGGTCATAATAGCAAAAAGGTGCTCTACTAAGTATAGATGCTTGGCATGAAGGGGTTGAATAATTTTAATACTGGTCAAGTCATTATAAGTTGTATTTTCAGTTGAATTTGGGGACACCACTTGAAGCATTTGTTGTGTTGAGCTATTTTCAATTGCTTTCATGTGATTTGTTTATTGCAAACACCTGAAACTCTGTAAATTTTGATAATAAACCTGATTTTCAATGGGAGTTGAATAATTTTTCGTTATAACTGTAGATAGTCCTTAGACATAGTGTTTTTAGTTTCGTACATAAGATCAGTCGTGTATACATGAGTTAGAGACACAACAAACGCTAGCTTACTTCTCATGTTTACATCCAAGTATGTTGATCTGAGTTCACTTTCTAGCATACGAGTACCCTGTAACTTTTCAGATTTTAATATAGAAATACGGGGAAGAGGTTTAGGGTACAGAAAAGAAAAGAAAAGAGGAAAGGAGGGTGGGGAGGGGGGGTTGAGTTCACACAGCAACAGGTCTTGTCAACATTACACATTTTGTTCCACATAGCTTTGAGTGTTTTTGATTTGTCAGTTTATTGGTTTAACCTCTCCTCAGTAACCTTGCCCCATTGGGGCTATCATCCTCCTGGAGTCTTTGGCCATTTGTTAATATGAACTAATAACATCCAGTTTTTGGTTAATGACCGATATTGAGGGGATTCTCTTGTTTTTCCAGTGGAACGCTATATTGTTTTTTGCTAGCGTAAGTATGTTTATGATCACTTTTCCGTGGGAGTGTCCTTCTAAGTCGGGTAATAGATGTAGGAGATATTGCTCTGGCCTGGCCGTGGTAGGTGAACTTGTGCCGTGGTTGAGATTAGTGCCTTCACTTGTTCCCAGTAGGAACTCAAGTCAGGGCATTCCCAAAATCTGTGCAACATTATTCCAGCCTCCTTTTCACACCTCCAGCAGAGCTCAGATGTTCCCTTATACATGCGAGAACAAATACATTTATAATGGATGTGTTTGCAAATTGCAGCAAAATATTTTAACATTTTCATAACCATCAAAACAATGAAATTGAAAAAAACAATGCAAAGTCATAGCTCAACATGTTAATACTTTAGTAATGGATTCCTTAAAGAAACATATCTAGCACCACAGCCACTGCAGAACAGTGAAGTGTTTATGGTGCCAGGAGTGCCCTGGGGACGATCTGATCTAAATAATCAAGCAATATTAGACTTTGACGTCTTTCCTGGTGTTAGCTTGGTGCCTCTCCCGACCTCCTTTCCTCTAAACCAATGCAGACAGCTGTCCTCAGGAGACCCCAGGACTAAATAGAATGGAGGTTGCCAGGGGGACCCCTGGCTCTATAAATGCTACAGTCATGTTCCTAGTGGTTATGGTGCTTGGAGTGTTCCTTTAATGTGCCATCAGTGTTCACTTTCTGAAAAATTTTAAAATAGGAAAAGTTCAGTGCAAGTATACAGTGTCCTTGATGAAACTTAATAGTATTGGTAATTGTTTTACAGAGACTATCAAGAACCTAATGGTTCTGCTTGCAACATCTGCAAATATTCCCATTGCTGATTACGTCTCATGGTATATATAAAGTGATCACAGAGGACCAGTCTACCAGAACATTTACCAGCTACTGACTGAAGATGTTGAGGCTCCTTGTCCTTGCTGCTCTCGTCCTTTGTGGTAAGATACATTGACAGCTAACTGCACATCATCTGCTAATCCAACTTCACTTTGCTTTACACTTCACTAACTCTCTATTATTTTTTAAATGTAGTGCTTGTTCTCACATGTAAGAGTTTCAGTTATACTGTCTCACTTACACTGTGAGTAATAACAATTATTATTTATATTTTTAACAGTTCTTCAACCCTAAACATTACATGTCTCTCTTCCTATCGTCACATTATAATAGTTTACATTACATGCATTTTATGGGTTTCCTCTGTTATCAACGTTCCCTTACTCACTGATCTTGAAACTTTTTTTATTATTAAATTAAGGACATTAGGATGTCCTTCCTATTTTTTTTATTGGAATAGCCCACACCTACTGAAACAGGAGTTATTCCCCCATTATTTAATTTAAAGTCTCTAATCTGATTAGTTTCTGTGTTTAGTAGATATAATTCGATAGGTGGGGACATAAGAAAGGTCTAAAACCTCAATTATAATAATATTGGGGTCATATTGACCTCTACAAGCTTTTTAAAATTCTTTCAATGTGGTGGTGTTGGAACATACACCTGTCCTGTCCTTGGTGAACACCAGAATTATCTGCCATGGCCTTATAGTTCTACCGAGCCGAGTACTTGTGGAACACTCAATGATTAGACCATTGGGTCAATGCAAAAAATGTTTACTGTTTATTAGATAGGACAAATGTTTTAAGAAATTCTACTAAGGGGCAGTCTAGGGGTTTCTCATTAATTACCAATCAAACAGTGACAATTATTAATTAACAGCATGTAAAGCTTGTGCAAACATCATGGTACAAGCATACAACACATCATTGATAAAAAAACTTATCTAGGGGTATTAGAATAGGAGGGTATAGGGTAGGTTTTTTTAGAACAGGAAAAAACAAAGGTGTTCGTGTGTCAAGACTATGTATGTGACGTTGTGGAAACAATACCAAGAAATGGCACTAGGGCCATCCAGAGAACTATAAGGCAGATTTATACATGAATCCTTTCAGTGCTGGAATGTTAGCCAGTTTCACATTAAAGTGGCACTGTAGTCATCAAAACTTTAGCTTAAAGGACCACTCTAGGCACCCAGACCACTTCAGCTTAATGAAGTGGTCTGGGTGCCAGGTCCTTCTAGGCTTAACCCATTTTTTCATAATTATAGCAGTTTCAGAGAAACTGCTATAATTATGAATGGGTTAAGCCTTCCCCCTAATCCTCTAGTGGCTGTCTCATTGACAGCCACTAGAGGCGCTTGCGTGCTTCTCACTGTGATTTTCACAGTGAGAGCACGCAAGCGTCCATAGGAAAGCATTGTAAATGCTTTCCTATGCACGGGCTGAATGCGCGCGCAGCTCTTGCCGCGCGTGCGCATTCAGCCGGCGGGGCGTAACGGAGGCGGAGAGGAGGAGGAGAGCTCTCCGCCCAGCGCTGGAAAAAGGTAAGTTATTACCCCTTTCCCCTTTCCAGAGCCGGGCGGGAGGGGGACCCTGAGGGTGGGGGCACCCTCAGGGCACTATAGTGCCAGGAAAACGAGTATGTTTTCCTGGCACTATAGTGGTCCTTTAATGAAGCGGTTTTAGTGTATAGATCATGCCTCTGAAGTTTTACTGCTCAATTCACTGCCATTTAGGAGTGGCACCACCCTTGACTGTGACTGACAGCCTACATGAAAACAGAATGGCTTCATTTTCAATCAGATGGAACTTACTTTAAAAGTTTTTACTCCTGCTCTATAAATTGAACTTTAATTATACAGAGATGGCTCCTGTAAGGTGTAGCAAGCTAAGAGATCGGGAGATAAGAAATTCTAAATTAAACAGAATTTGCAAAAAAGGAAGTGTGAATATTAGAGGACTCATTATAGGAAGTATTTACAAAGGCTGTGTAAGTCACATGCAGGGAGGTGAGACTAGGGCTGCATAAACAAAGTGATTTAACTCCTAAATGGCAGTGAATTGAGCAGTGAAATTAGTAAATATGTACATGAGAATAATGATAATTATTACACAAAATGCAAAATGTATAATATTTTCATTCCCAGTTTACATAATAATCTGGTCAAAAGTTGCAGACAAACTTGAGTCTTGCTTTCTCTGTCTGTCTTGGGCTTCAGTCAAACAATCATACATCGTGGTGGACTGCATCTGTCTATTCTGTTATGTGGGAACAGTATTGATTACCCACTACCTTACGTAACCCTCCTTATGCAGCTAATCAGTAATATAATGTTCATTATGTTCTAAAGGACAGCTGTCCTGATCTGTTCCTGTTCATCAGGATGCTGGTATAGTAGGCAACAAATGCCCAGATTAAAACTGCAGAACAAGTCCCACTGAGAAATAAACATATGTAAAGACAAGTAAGCATGTTTACAGACATCATTTTCAAATAATGTCTTAGGAGATTGGGAGCTTTTCCCTTCTGGGAAAATCTCGGCTGTTCCATCATTAGAATGTGGTCATGGATTATTATGCCCATCATAAACACCTACTTGCTGCTCCTTTGGAAAGGTACGTTGTGTTTTTGTCTCTCCCCAACTGTCCTTCAACTATGAAATCAGCAACTATACCATCTTCAATAAGTGGCTGCTTTAATTGGGTTTGATGAATCCACGCCTTGCTCTCTTTTAACTTGGCATCACTGTTATGATCATGAGTAGTCTTTGGACAAAAATAGTCCATTCTAGGTTTTAAACATTGTAACTGCTACTTCTGGTTCCCCACTTTTTTGCGTTTTTTTGTCATTTCTTTGTGGATTTGTCTTTCACTTGGGGTCAACTCTGAAATTTGTTTCCCCAACTGTTGCAGTGATCAATACTCTATCGTTCTATAGTACTCCAAAGTATGCAGAATCAAAACAGATGTGTTTTGAAGATATCGTATGATCATAGCATGTCCTGATCTCTTCCATCCATCAGATGACATGATTAGCTCACCTATAATTCACTCAAGGACTGACAAGCTGAATTATTTCTTCACAATCCTGCAGGCCTGTTAGTGTTTTAAAACAACTGACTAAGTCTCTGTTTTTTTATTTTTTATTATGCACACAGTCTAAAGGCCTTGTTGTAATCCACCAACACAATAGGTGCTTTCTGTAAGACAGCTTTCAACTCTTGAAAAGTCTTTACTTTTTCCCTGGTATCGTGTCAGATATTCATAAAGTCCTTCTCTCCTTCTTTGGCATCATAACTTTACAGATAGCATCCACCCTTTCTGGAGATGATTTTGCAAAGTCATTAAAATAAAATATAGTCCTTTTTCCTTGACAACTTTTTATATCCACTCTTGCATAGATATTGCAGTAGAGAAAAAAACATTATTCAATATTTTCTTGTTCGATAGGACCGGTAACCCATAAATCATTCATATACTGGACCAGCACAGTGACAATGGTGTTGAGTACATAGTTTTAAGTCCTTGCTCCACTGTCCAATTAATATAAATGTGTATCTGTGTATCCCAGGTAAGCTGAACCTTGTGTCTGTTCTGTATCCTCTCATTGAAAGGCTAGTAACAATTTGCCTTTCCTTAGCCATCAGGATAAAAAGAAAGTATATAAAGTATAAAGATGTAATTAATTTGAAAAGTAACATACATCCCGCTGTTTAAAGGTGTAGTCCATTTGGAAAGTAACAGACATCACGCTGTTTAAATGTGTAGTCCATTTGGAAAGTAGCAGACATCCATTGAAATCTGTATAACATATCTTCAAACTTTAAGGCTATCATCCAAGTCACACAACAGTCACGGGTAAAACATTTTCTGGCTAATCAGGTTTTGCCAGTAGCCCTGGTATCAGGGGACATATTGGAAAAAATAAGAATGTCCTGCAGTGCCTGCTTGTCACTCACAATTAGCATTGGGTTAGCTGGCAAGTAAATCTGAAGAGATATCTTTCGAAGAGTATTATTAAACAATACAACTTCATGATTTATTATTTATTCTTATAATAGTAATTCTAACCTTGTCAACAATTTTAACTGTGAGAGAAAGAGAGGGGGGTCATCGATACATTTTCTCTCTTTCTCCTTCACAACCATACTGCAATTAGTATTTAACTCTTTCAACAACCATTAAAGAGAAATAACCTTACAGGACTAACAAAGTTGGTGAAAATGGCTTGTTTTCAAATATTTGTTTTGCAACCAATTTACATTTATTACTCAAAAACAACATCTTGTGATTTCCTTGCTCATATTTCAGCATTCAGTTTTCATGCATCTAATCAGTACCTTACATTAAATATTCAACAAGATATTGAACAAAGTAGAGTCAGGCCATTTCTCTTTAATTCTTAGTTAGTCGGAATCCCAAAATGTCACCTGACTTGGGACTACCTTCTGGTGGTCAGCCAGAAGCAAATATGACAAACAAACTGCTTTACTTGCAGTCTAAACCAAACATCTGTATATTTTTCCTAACCTAAAAGGTTGCTGCACAAATCTAACTTGTATACTACTGGAGAGAAAGACTAAAGGAGTAGTAGTTACATTGAATAGGTTTACCATTAGGGGTAATACAAACAAATATCAACATACAGGTGAACAAACACTTAACAAATTCAGGTAGAGAACATTAATAAAATTTAAAATAGGATATCGAAAATCAGTGTGTAGCTATGAAATGCTTTATAACTGGTAAAAATTCACATTCATTTGTTTTATGTCATTTTTAATCAGTCACTGGAATGCTCTTGGAACAGCGTAGTCCCTAGCCACACATCCTACTTACACACTTTATATATATATATATATATATATATATATATATATATATATATATATATATATATATATATATATATATATATATATATATATATATATATATATATATATATATATATATATATATATATATATATATATATTTGTTTTGCTTTTCTATTTCTTTGTTTATTTCAAAATGCGACAGGGCATGCAGTGTGGTTTTTTTTTCAACTTCTTTTTATAATTCAAAACAATTATAAAATAATACAACTATGTTACTTAAAAATGAAACTTATTTGAATAGATTATACCATATACATGTAACAAAAATAAGTTAATTGCTTTAAACATGTGAGAACATTATTCTTATGGTAGATAGTGGGACATAGATATTGAGCATCCCAGACAAGGTATTAAATAATTTATTAACAATAATTGCAATAACTCAATAACTTCCGAATTTTAGCTGAACCATATTCAGGCTCATTCCGAAATCTCACTGCAAAATCTAGGCATTGTTAAATAATGTGACCAATGTTCGGATTTTGCAGTCCAAATTACCCCGTAGAGCAGGGCTTTCCAAACTTTTATGGGCCGAGACCCACTTTTGAAAATGGTAATTTTTCGAGACCCACTTGCTTTTAATGCATATTTTAAAAATGTACACCATGGCAATCCGCTTTACAGGCATATAATTGGCACACCATGGCGATCAGCTTTCAATGCATTCAATTGGCACACCATTGCAATTAGTTTTAGAAGCATAAAATTGGCACACCATGGTGATCAGTTTTAGAAATATACAATTGGCATACCATGGCAATCAGTTTTAGAGGAATACAATTGGCACACCATAGCAATCAGCTTTACAGGCAGACAATTGGAACATCATGGCAGCTTTAGATGCATAGACTTGGTGCATCATGGCAGCTTTAAGTGTATAACATTGGCACACCATGGCAATCAGTTTTACAGGCATGCAATTGGATCATGGCAATCAGCTTTAGATGCATAAACTTGGCACACCATGGCAACTTTAAATGCATAAACTTGGCACACCATGGCAATCAGCTTTAGAAGCATACAATAACTTCCGAAGTATGCATCATGGCAAACAGCCCTAGATGCATACAGTTGGCACATCATGGCAGCTATAGAGGCATACAATTGGCACACCATGGCAATCGGTTTTAGATGCATACAATCAGCTTTAGAGACATACAACTGGCAAACCAGGGCAATAAGCTTTAGATGCATACAATTGACACACCAGGGTAATCCGTTTTAGATGCATAAATCATGGCATAACATGCTAGTTTTAGAGGCATAATTCTGGCATATCATGGCAGTTTTAAAGGCATAACTTTGGCATATAATGGCAGTTTTAGTTTTAGAGGCATAATTCTGGCATATCATGGCAGTTTTAGAAGCATATTTTTGGGTATAATGGCAGTTTTAGAGGCAAATACTTGGTACTTCATGGCAATCAGTTTTAGAGACATACAACTGCTTACTCACAGACTCAGTCAGAATCAGAAATTCTGTTGTCCTGCTCTTTCATCCAGGCACCTCATGTTGATTATCTCAGTGGGGTGAATTAATGTAGAGAGGGCCCTGGTGCAAGTATGTTTTCTGGGCCCACCTCTAGTGCAAGTGTGGCCAAAAGGTAGATCCCCATCTGTCTGAGAACTTCAACAATGCTATGCCAGCTGGGGATCTACCATTTGTGCATCGTGGCAGGGTTATATTTGTGAGCAGTGTTTGAGCATTTGAATGTAAGCATGTTTTTGTATTAAACATATCTGTGCATGTATGGGTGTATTTGTATGTACTGTTGCCATTGGAATGTAGTGGTGTACTTGTGTGTAATGTTTGCGTCTGAATGCAGGGGTGTTTGTATGTAGTGTTGGACTTTAAATGCAGGTGTGCTTTTTGTGTGTTGTGTTGGTGTCTGAATGCAGGTGTGTTTGTATATAATACAGGGGTGTGCTTGTATGTAAAATTTGTGTTTGATTGCAGTGTGTGTGTAGTGGATGCAGTGTTTATATTATGTATATAAAATATACATATACATAATGTGTGTTTGAATGTACGCATGGTTTTGTATGGCGTATGTGTGTGAATGTTGGTGTTTGAATGCAGGTGTGCATTTGTGTGCAGTGTATACACTTCCACCCACATTGAAACACATACACACACATACAGAGACACAGACACAAAAATACATACACTGACACAGCAATAAACACACACACACACACAACACCTAGTTTCCCACACACAGATACACAGACACTCATGTACACAGATACACACTGACACAAAACACACAGACACACATGGACACACGGATACACATACACACTGACACTAAAGGACACACGGATACACATACACACAGAGACAGGAGGTGAGGGTGACAGTGTGGGGAAGGGGAGGGTGACAGTGTGGGTGGGAGTGTGTGTGCTGGTGACAGTGTGGGGGACAGTTTGAAAAAGGGTTGCAGTGTGGTGGGCAGGGTGAGGAAGGGTTACAAGTGTGTGAGGCAGGGGAAGAAACGGCTACAGTGGGGGGGCAGAGTGAGAAAGGATTACAGTGTGGGAAGGGGGCAGAGTAAGAAGGGGTTACAGTGTGGGGGGCAGGGGGAGAAAGGGTTACAGTGGGGAGAGCAAAGTGAAAAAAGGTTACAGTGGGGGGCAGGGTTAGAAAGGGTTACAATGTGGGGGCAGGGTGAGAAAGAGTTACAGTGGGGGTAACAGAGAGAGAAAGGATTACAGTGTGGGGGCAGGATGAGAAGGTGCTATAGTGTGGGGGCAGGGTGAAAAAAGGTTACAGAGTGACGAAGGGGGCAGAGTGAGAAGAGGTTACAGTGTGGGTGGCAGGGTGAGAAAGAATTACAGTGGGGGGCAAAGTGAGAAAGGGTTAGAAAGGGTTACAATGTGGGGGCAGGGTGAGAAAGGGTTATAGTGGGCGGGCATGGGGAGAAAGGATTATAGTGTGGGGAGCAGGGGCAGAGAAAAGGCTACAGTGGGGGGCAGAGGAAAAGGGCTACAGTGAAGGGGGCAGGGGAAGAAGGGTTACAGTGTGGGGAGGCAGGGCAGAGTGAGAAGGGGTTACATTGTGGGAAGGGAACAGGGTGAGAGGGTGTGTGGAGGGGGGGAGGAGAAGGGGTTATAGTGTGGGGGGGGGCAGGAGAGAGAAGAGGTTACAGTGTGGGGAGGGGGGCAGATGAGAAGGGGTTACAGTGTGGAGAAGGGAGCAGGGAGAGAAGGGGTTACAATGTGGGGAGGGGGGCAGAGTGAGAAGGGGTTAACATGTAGGGAAGGAGGCAGGGTGAGAAAGGGTTACAGTGTGGAGAAGAGGGCAGGGTGATGGGGGTTACAGTGTGGGGAAGGAGCATGGAGAGAAGGAGTTACAGTGTAGGGGAAGATGCACTGTGTCCTACCTTTATTTTTAATATAACAAATTCCCTGGTGGTCGAATGTCTCCCTGGTGGTTTGGTGGGTTACTTCTCCGGTCTGCAGCTCCGCAGAGCTGCAGAGTGTGTGATGGAGGTCTCGCAGGACTCAGAGTGTTGCCATGCTAACACTCTGGGAGCATGCAAGACATCTATTACACGGTCTGCTGCTCTGCACCCGGTGGAGCTGCAGACGGCAGGTTGTGGGCTCTCTCTTGGGCAGACTGATGGAGGGAACCAAAGTGAGCTTAGTACAATCTGGATATAACGTCCAGACTCTACTAATCAAATGAGTGGAGCGCTAAAGGTATAAACTTACCCTAAAATAGGGTTAAATCTCAGATGTATATCAGTACATATAAAGGAAACACAAAATAAAACACAATATAGTGTAAATCCACAGGTGGTAATGTATTTTGGTGATAATTCAAGTAGTCAAACTCACATTGATCAGAGCCTCAAAGGGACAGGCTCAAATCACTTGCACAGTAGTGTCGTATGTAGACACTGCACCCTTGCATAGAGAGCAAGCCGTCGGGCCCCCTCCTGTGTCGGGACAGTGGTCATGGACTGAGGGCCAGACTAATCAGTCTACCTGACGGTCTCATAGCCATAGGTCGCCGGCAGCCCACACTTTGGGAAACCCTGCCGTAGAGCATAGGATGGTTTTGCCCCATTCAGTACATGGCTATTCTGACTTTAGTGAATAACCATGAGAGTGAATTCATTGATCTTATACTCACAGTGTTTTATTTACCCCAAAGGACAATGTTATGAAGATGCTGAAGGAAATGAGAGGGTGGTAGGAGGATCAAATTCTGCACAAAATGCATGGCCTTGGCAGGTACGTGTGGCTAACTTCTCTCTGTATAAGGCAATAGAAAGTATTGCAATGAAAACTCCAAGTGCGACTGTGGAACTCCACGATAAACTACACAATTATTTAAAAACAAAATGCTAAATTATATACTGTTTATGATTTGCTTGATATTTAATACATATGTTGAATCATTTCCCTTGTCCAGATTTCCCTCCAGTATCAGTCTGGAAGCAGCTGGTATCACACCTGTGGAGGTTCTCTGATCCGTGCTAACCGTGTCCTGACTGCTGCTCACTGTGTAGACAGGTAAAACCATCAACATATAATATTGTGTTAACAGCATTAATACAAACATTATAATCTACCTAAAAGAGATATCCCAAGCACCATAACCACCAACGTTAATTGGATATTTAAACCATTGTGAATCAACACATCCCTTTTATTGCTGTCCCTTTCAATGGCCATGATGAAAAGACTACACTGATTCAATGTATTCCAAATGGTCCATACTCTAGTGTTTGAAACTCTTGTAGACTCTTGAATATGCAATTTGTGCTCATATCACACACAAACTCGTGGAAAGTGAGGAATGAGTGTACTTCATTATAGACATCTCAGGCTAAAGGAGTAAGCTTCAGGTGCTGGAGATTCCTTTTGTTAACCCGAATTAAAACAGCATAGCTTCGAGGCTCTATAACCACTGCCAAAAGCTGCAGTTGTTATTGGGTACTATTGATGTGCTTCCTACATTTTATAATGAGCATCTGTATGAGTAAATATAAACTAAATGATTAATGAATTAATGATAAATGAAAAATAAGTGATTATTTTCTTTAATAGTACAATAACAAGTCAATATTAATCACTAGTAAAATATATTTAATGTATACGGCAACAACACAATTTGCCAACATACAAATGTATATTTGCATACTCAGACATATACTAATATACATTTTTTTGCAAAAAATCTTAGTCCATTACAAATACAGAATTTCCTTTGATCTTTCACTGCTTTTTCTGTCATCAAATAATTTCTGATCCTTCCTAGGAATCTGTGCTTTGCTTCATCTTGGATGGAATGTCCTATGCCAAAAGCTAGTTAGACAGATCCAGTCTAAGATTCCATGGCAGGATACAAAAACTATGGAAAACAAAACAATACTATCACCACATTAACGTGTGAATAGTGTGAAATAAGTATGCAATATACTTATCAGGTAAATCAAGTGGACAGCCTCCCAAGGATCACTTCCCAGGTGGTGATCTTTAGACCAGAATACAAGCAGAACACATATTGGATACGGCTGTGGAATCTAAAAAGAACATAGATAAAACATAATGTAATACAATTTTAACAAATTCGAAGAATTATCTCCCATGTCTCAGCTGTTAATTAGATATCTGCCAAAAAACTAACAAATCATGTGCACTGTACAAAAATGCACTCACAAGATGTAGACGTATTATTGGCTCAAAGGGTGCCTCCCCAGATATAATTGGGGGGCTATGGATCCCTCTCCACTGTCTGCAGGATAGCAGGAAATCAGGACTCCGCATGGTAGTATAAAATAGCGGCTTTTATTATAAATCAAATAAAATTGGTAAAACAGCAGTAGTTGTGGTCTTACGCGTTTCGTCCCACACTTGGAACTTTGTCAGAGACCATAAAATCAAAGTAAATTACAGATGGTTATACAAAAATAACAGCCTAACAATTCCCACCCCACAGTATCTTTAAATAGGGCTAATCCCTGAGTTCATTGGTGGTTCAAAGGGTGTTGTTTCTCCTCCGTGGTCTTGCTGGTTCCCTTCTTGCACTGGATCACTTGTAGATCTTCGAATAATTATCTCCCATGTCTCTGTTAATTAGATATCTGCCAAAAAACTGGAACTGGAAGTGTGTTCCATTAAACACTTGCACGTTCCATTCGCTGAGTGATGTGAGCCACAGATATCAAGACGGCTGTTCACAGATGTAGTGTGCGACCTCTAGTGGTTGCCAAAGATATTGCAAGATTTAACAATGGTATTAGTAAAACGAAACAGCAAGTATTTGATCTGCTATAGAGAAGGGTTGTAATACCATAGATAATCGTTAATCAGAACCCTCAATATGAATTAAAGTGCAAGAAAATGAACTTATATCATGTGATTATTGCATAGCATAAATAATTATTTTTCTTTTATTAATTATATCTTTAGTTTTCTTTTTTGTTTTTTTTTTACATCATTCAATCAAAGATTAATTCTTTAAAGTGAATATATTAAAGTGAATATGTGCAATAATTGATTAATGTCAATTGTTCTTTCTCATGTTCTAAACAATATTTATTGAAATAAATTAACATAATCTAATGTAACCACACATACCTATTGTTATAATACATGACTGTATACCCAGTCGTGAAATAGCAACTAATTACATTTGATGTCCCTAATTTAAAGATGGACAAAAACAATTTCTATTCCTATTTTTCTTTTGCTACAATAGTTTTAATCAAAGAATTATTTATTAAGAGTAACACCAGATATGTTTAGGTGAATTGGTACATTAACCCCTTAAGGACACATGACGGAAATATTCCGTCATGATTCCCTTTTATTCCAGAAGTTGTGTCCTTAACGGGTTAAACCATAAATACCTAATATTTCAATTATCTGCAAAATAGTGATACGGATGTACTGTATTGTTTTTATACAGGTTCACTACTATAATATGTAATTGTGTAGCCTATCATAAATCGGTGATTGGTATCCCCCATATAGAGAGTATATAGAACATATGTGTACAAAGGAAGAGAATACATTTAGAAAAAAATACACAAAAGGTGCATGAACAAAAGTCTCAGACTTAATCTTAAAAATATCTCCCATTGTAAAGCTGGAGAATGAATTTACCCTATCCAAAGACATAGTAGAACAAGCTTTACAAGAATATTGAAGTAAGAATGACATCCTCTAAAGGTACCAGAGAGCCCCATGGTGTTCCAACACTCTCTGAGGAAGGTCCAAGTGTGGGACGAAACACATGAGACCACAACTACTGCTGTTTTACCAGTTTTATTTGATTTATAATAAAAGCCGCTATTTTATACTTCCATCCGGAGTCCTGATTTCCTGCTATCCTGCAGACAGCGGAGAGGGATCCATAGCCCCCCAATTACATCAGGGGAGGCACCCTTTGAGCGCATAATATATCTACATCTTGTGAGTGCATTTTTGTACAGCGCATATTATTTGTTAAAATTGTATTACACTATGTTTTATCTATGTTCTTTTTAGATTCCACAGCCGTATTCCATATGTGTTTTGCTTGTAAAAAAAAAACTATGGGCTGGATTTATTTAGCAGAGTAAGGGTTTAATCTATTTCTGAAAAGTAATTCCTCCATTGAAGACTATGGGTAAATTGTTATTCAGAAAACAACCCAATCTGTCTTAGTACTAAAATAATTTTTTTTCAGCAAAAAAGTACTATTGTAACATATCTACATATTTATCTAAAGTTTTGTCATACCTAATGCTTATCTTATTTTATGATATATACCTTCCACATACTGTGAGTGACATAAAAAAACAACTATATTATTTTATTTCTAATAAACAGAGTTTATACCTTCCGTGTGGCTTTGGGAGAACACAACCTGAACGTGAACGAGGGCAGAGAACAATATATCTCCGTTTCTAGAATTGTAAAACATGCCAGCTGGAACACTAACAATGTAGCAGCAGGGTAAGAAATAGGGAAAACTAATGTGTGAAATAATGAATTTGCCACTTCATAAAAAAAATAATAAAATATTTGTTTACAATAATAACAACATTCACAAAAAATGACATTTGTTAAGTGAAAGTGGAACGCAACCACTCCGCTTTCTTAATATTAATATTCTGATCTTAGGGCTCCCAGTCCTTTGAAACACTCTGGGACAACTATCCATTAAGTACATATTCATCTTAAACATACATTTTAACTGATAAATATTTTTTTATATTATATTTTTGGGACATACATAATGATGTCCTTTTGCCATCATTTTTATCTACACAATGTTCTCCTAAACTGCTATTAACATACATTTAAGAACTCTGTCATTGTAAATAGCTAAAGTAATATAATGTGTAATTATAACCTACATTTACATCTATAAGTCTTTCTTCTAGTTGTTGTCTTTTCTTAACAGGTATGATATTGCCATCCTTCATCTAGCATCGAGCGCCACCCTGAACAGCTATGTAAAACTGGCAACACTGCCAAGTGATGGGGCTGTCCTGGCCCACAATTACGCCTGCACCATTACTGGATGGGGAAGAACCACCAGTAAGTATCTAATTTGATTGTTTTTTAAATAGCATACCTAAACATTCTTGCTTTTTCTGCTCATCAATAGATATATAAAATATCAGTTCCTCCAACTGGTTGTTAGAGACAATATTCTGTTTGGTTAATTCTGATTGTCGAATAGTAGATTATTACATATGTTCCATTTGACATCATATGCTGCTTAATATGAGCATGTGTTTTCCCCATAGCCGGTGGATCCCTCCCCGCAATCCTCCAGCAGGCCCCTCTGCCTGTGGTCGCTCACTCAACCTGCTCAACAAGTTCCTACTGGGGCAGCACTGTGAAGACCACCATGGTGTGTGCAGGTGGTAACGGTGCTCAGGCTGGATGCAATGTAAGATAATGAGTTACATTTTCATAATCTTACAGTCTGTGTTTTGCAATTTTCCCTTGAAAGGTATATGAATGCAGCTTATGGTGAAAGGTGACAGTGTGTCAGGGTGGCGGTCCGGAGCCCGGGACCCAGACACTGTCCAGGCGGTGGTGCGAGGATCGGGACCCAGTATGCCTGATGTTCAAAGTAGGAGTCACAGTGTGGAGGTGGATTAGCAGTGTCTGGTGCAGGGTAACCGCACGCCCCTTGGTGTTAAGCGCCAGCGTTTGTACAGCCACATACCAGAACCCTGATTTAGCTTATGCGGATACCAGGAAATAGGAGCTGGGAATTAAGCAGACCTCCCAGAGCTGAATAGGGAGGTACGGCAGCAAGAATGTATCCAGTACAGAAACAAGGCAAGACTAGGAAAGGCACCAAACATGGAAACAAGACAGAACTAATAGAACCCAGAACCAGAGAAGGATAGGAAGCTAAACCCAGAACATGTACACAATACATAAGGGAAACAATAACATAACATGGGCAGGAATTGACAGGACTGTACATGGACTGGGAATACAAACTAAAACAAGACAAGATATGATAGGCAAAACAAGAGGAAAAATAACTAAGTACTATATATGAAAACTATGGGGATTTAGTTACATTATATGATCATACATTGCATAAGCCTGCCAACAACGCCAATGTACCCAATATCTGGCAGGTCCTACTCTGCCTAATGCAAGCTAAACCAACCAAAGAAAACAAACATAGTACTTACCTGCAAGAAAGGGCAGAAGACTTGAGCAGCTGCCTGCAGGAACACTGAAACAAAAGAACTGATGGAAAACAAACGGGTGTGGCAAATAAAACAAACATCTAAAGGAAACCTGGAGACTGGGAATTCCCGGGACGGAATACAGGATTGAACCCAGAAAAACCAAGCATAAAGAAAACCAGACATAGAATAGAAAACCAAAAAAAACAAGAAAAACTAAACAAAAATTGTAAAAAGAGAACTAGATACCAGAAGCCATTGCCAGAATGATCCGCAGCTAGGAACAGGATGTGACACAATGTTTGAAAATTTGAATGCATCGTTTTAATTTGTTTTTGCCCAGCTACCTTTCCAAGGCAAGTGTTTCACAAGTTTGACCTGTGTTACTAATCATTCAACAATTATGAAGACCACATCGTAAAAAAACGGTGAAAAACCTGGAGGTTGAGCCTGCAGGCCTCTTGTTCCCTCTCCTCATTTGCGTGTACTCTTCATCAAGTTAAGGCTTTCCATTTTCTCAGAACATCAGTCACTTAATTATGTCCAAGACCAAGAGGGTACTGATAAGTAGACAGTGCAGTACATTATTGCCTGGCATTGATTAACGGCTCAGAGATTTTGGACTGACAATGAAACTTCTCATCAGACACGAAGGTACAATATTTAATTTCAAATAAAAAAAAAAAAACAATATTTAATCTGCTTCAATAAAGCATTAAGGAAGGATTTGAAGTCACAACAACAGATACACAGTGGAGCAGAGCTCCCTGTACCCTGGCTGTGATGGAGCATCTCCATCCTGGAAAAGGGTTGGGACTAGCTCTATTTCCTCCCAAGGACTGGATGACATGACACACAGTCCTGGGAGAGATAGTTCTTACAAAGACCCTCTTAATCCTCCACGAGCTGGAACAAGATGCTGAGCAGTAATTAGCCCTTTCCCCTTCCAATAACTAGACAACACATAGTTCTGGGAGTGCAAAAGATTTTAATGAGCTAAACTCGTCCATTTATGCACAGACCCCCACAGTGGGTCTCCAAACAATACAATACAAGCCTCTCCCAGGTGTCTCTGTGCCTGTGAGATAATTGAGTTAAATACCAGTAAGTTAATTATCTCCCAGAAACAGAGAGCCAAACATAAAAGTACCCCAAAACATTATAAAAACATGCAATAACCTCACATGTCTTACATCCCCAAAAAGCCCTGAGATAAGTGCCCAAGTTGTCCAAATAGTGCCTAGGGAAAGCTGCTAAGAGCGGCTGAGCAGGGTAACTCCCAAACGGGGTGTGCGACCTGGACCGTAGTCGGTGGGCAGGAGACCAGCTTCCACACTCCTCCAGGAGCTCATGGCAAATGTTCATGGGAAGGAGTGTTTGTCGCACACAGGAATGAAGTTGAGGTAATATGTATAAAAGAAGAGTTGGTAGCTAGACACAGGATATGTACGAGAAAGGAAAGAGGTGGAAAAAGTGTTGTTACTATTTGAGAGAAAGAATCTGGGTTGAAATGGAGGGATCTGAAAGACAAATAAAGGTGAACGAATGATTGTAATAAAGAAAAAAAAGAGGGATGGAACAGCGCTATCCAAACTGATCACAACGGGCGGGGGAAAGGCTGCACACCTGAAAGGAAGGGTAACCCTCAAAACTCTTCAAAGTACTGGAAAAACAGGAAACAACAATTACAGGATGCGCCAAGAACAAAGTAAATAAATAAAATGGATAATAGGAAAAAAAAATACCAGGGAAACAGGCAAATGAAAGTCTCTAATTCATAGGTATATTCTTCAGAAATTCTCAGGACGTCTTGGGTTAAGTTCTCATCAGCATATATGAAAGAGAAAAAAACACACAGAGGGGACCAATGGTGCAATGACTTAAAGGAGTATGGCTACAGACAACACTGAGATTAAGAAATGCCAACTGACATTTATGGGAGCTATAACCAGCTCGAGTTAAAACAGCATACAGTGGTATTTAAACTCCCCACGTGTAGTATATTCCTCTCACGAGATTTTCAGTGCAGTTTATATGAAATAAAAACACAAGAGAAGGCCTTTAGTGCTCTCTATATAAAAAAAGTACTGGATAAAATAAGAGATGTACTTACAATTTACAGAGCAGACAAACCGCTCTGTGTAAAGCGCCTGGGTGGTACGATCCCCACCATGGATTCTTAGGATGGTATAAAAGCTTCAGATATTTAGGATATGCCAGGTAAAAAAACAAGGATAAATATAAAAGTATTTAAAATAGTCCAAAAAAACACTTATATTTAGATTAAAACACAACGTGTTTCGCCACAAAAGATGTACACTTGAAGAAGCCTTTTGTGGCGAAACACGTTGTGTTTTAATCTAAATAAAAGTATTTTTTTTGACTATTTTAAATACTTTTATATTTATCCTTATTTTTCTCTTTCATGTATGCTGATGAGAACTTGACCCAAGAAGTCCTGAGAATTTCTGAAGAATATACCTGTGAATTAGAGACTTTAATTTGCCTGTTTCCCTGGTATTTTTTTTTTTCTATTATCCATTTTATTTATTTACTTTGTTCTTGGCGCACCGTGTAATTGCTGTTTCCTGAATGAATGGTTGGCTGATTGGCTGGATGGTTTGATAGATGGATGGATGGCTGACTGGCTGACTGGATGGATGACCGGATGGCTGGCTGGCAGATAGAAGAAGATATGAACTAGAAGGGCTTTTTAAGTATAGTTATGCTAGTGTTTTAGATTATCCATGTTTTGTAATTATGTATTTGATAATATTGCTAACCATAGTTTTGTAGACATATGGGTCTATATAAAACATTATAAATATATTCTAACATTTTTTGTAACTGGGTCAAAATGTATGCCAATATTGTAAGCATACCCTTACTTAAAGCTGGTCTAGAATACACCTAATTTTTTTCTACTATAGGGAGATTCTGGCGGACCCCTCAACTGTGCTGTCAATGGAGTTTACCAGGTCCATGGTGTAACTAGTTTTGTGTCTTCTTCTGGATGCAATGCCTACCTCAAACCAACAGTGTTCACCAGAGTGTCTGCTTATATCTCCTGGATCAATGCTGTGAGTTAAATTTGAACAAGAATAGAATTCATTTTATATGTATGTGCTGTAGATTGAACATACATAGTGAAAATGGTAATGTTTGCTTCTTTATCCATTTGTCATTTTATCAAATATATGGAAATATTCGTTATTCTCCAATATGAACATGTGAAAATTTAAAAAGTATTTTATATTTCCATTTTACTTGCACAAACAACATTTGTACAAATATTCACTATTCACAATTCAGCCATTTGGTTTCTAATATAGTCCATGCGTGGGATAAGCATAAGGCTATCCTAGACTTAAGATAAGGCCAGAGACTAATTAAAAGTATTTTGAAATAATGGACAGACTAGATGGGCCGAATGGTTCTTATCTGCCATCACATTCTATGTTTCTATGTTTCTATATACTGGTTCATGGGCAAGAAAAGCATGGTAAGTCAAAAGGGAACAAAAAAGGCACCATATGAGGCAGAAAAGGTTAGAGCAAAGTCCATTACCGGCATGTGGCTGTTTATAAAAGCAAGGGGAAAACAATGATGCAGTTTCCTCTTCAAATCATAGGTTCCTGCACTGTAGACCTGGGTAACAATATAGTTCTTTTGAAACTTTAACATCCAACACTAGCAAAACATATTGTGAGCTGTTGTTAACATCAAATGGAAAGTCATTGTTGGCAGTCATGCACTTGGGCTTTTTAATGAATGTCAAGAACATATTAAGAACATTTGACGTTTTCCTTGGTAACCAACAATGCATTATTTCTCTTTCAGAATATCTAAACAGAAGACACGTTACTAGAGACATCAAAAAAGATTGTCCTTATATTGTTTGAATTCTGTATTGGCTCAACATTCATTAAAGAACAGTATATTCATACCAGTTGTCTCTGCTCTATTGTTGTGTTTTGTTACTTTTAAAAACAAGGTTTATTTTTCTTAAATCAAAATTGTAATCTAATGCTCAAGGCATGGTGTGCAGTGCTCAATATTATTAATTAATTAACATATGCACTACCAGCCTCTTTTTATTTTAAAAATAGCATAATATATATTTGATCCACATAATGCACACAAATATAGGGTGCAAGATCATTCTTGTGCAAATTATTTTATGTTTGATTAAGGTTAATGTACTCACTTTTTGCCACAAACAGTAGATGCAGTAAATATAGGAAGATACTTGTTAAACAGAAGTGTTCAAATAGCCATGTAGATGTTATTTTCTAAGACCAAAACACTACCCAATAATACATTGCTTACTGTAGCATCAATTCAATGACCTGTGTGTCTTTTCATGCAATCCCCCTCCCATGCCCCGCCCAGTATAATGAGTTTTAGTGGCTATCATGCTTAAACTATTCCTTGTGTGACAAATTAAGCTCACAAATTATTCTCCAAATGGGAACAAGAGGATTGGTGTGTAAAAGGATGCTTTTGGGGATACTGCAGGCACACGCTGGGCACCAACACAACTAAGTACATTTTATTTTGGTTTATTCATTTTGACTTCATATTCATACTGCTTTTTACTTAAAATTCAAATCTCTTTATTTTTCTTAAAAATAAGAAAAACAATAGTTGCAAGCAGGGAGGTGCAAGGATTTCTGCCGTCCTAGGCAAAGATACATTTTGCCACCCCCTCATATCACTAACTCACTGAAAGACACACACTGACAGACACACACACTTACTGACACACACATTCACTGACACACACACACACTCACTCACTGACAGACACACAAACACACACTCGCTGACAGACATGCACTCACTCACTGACAGTTACTCACTGACATACATATACTCACTCATTGACAGACAGACACACACACAAACACACACACAGACACTTACTGACAGACAGACATACACTCACTTACTGACAGACATACAAACACACACTCACTAACAGACATACACTCACTCACTCACTGACACAAAGGCACTCACTGACATACATACACTCACTCACTGACAGACACACACAGAGACTCTCACTGACATACATACACTCACTCACTGACACACACGCACACACAGACACTCACTGACATACATACATACACACACTCACTCACTGACATACACACACACACACAGACACTCACTGACATACATACACTCACTCATTGACAGACACACACACACTCACTGACAGACATACATACACGCATTGACAGACAGACACACACATATACAAACACACACACAGACACTCACTGACACTCACTGACATACATACAATCACTCACTGACAGACATACACTCAGGGGCGTTCCTAGAGCATTTGGCACCCGGGGCGGATCCTGTGCTTGGCACCCCCACCCAAAAAAAAAAAAAAAACCTGTAAAAATGTTTAAAGGTTTTCTTTTTTTTTTACAATTTGTAAACTTTTCAAAACCGCTGTCAGCCCCTCCTACAAAACCCTTGTCCTGCCCCGCCCCTCCTACAAAACCTCTGTCCTGCCCCTTCTACAAATCCTGTACTGCCCCGTCTACAAAACCCCCGCAACCCCCTTCCACAAATCCCCTGCTTATCCACCCTTATAAAGACTCCTGTCCCAATACAAAACCCCGCCCCCTTCTACAAAATCCCTGCAGCCCCACACACACATTTACAGGCAGACAGTCACACACTCAGTTACAGACAGACAGTCACACACTCAGTTACAGGCAGACAGTCACACACAGTCACAGGCAGACAGTCACACATACACATTTCCTCCGTGCGGCCAGTTTATCAGCTGTTTGCTTGTGTGAGCTGTACTGGCCGCACGGCACCCTAACTACCATGGGACACTGTGCGCCACAGCTCCACAGCCCCCTCCAGCCAGGGCCGGTGCAAGGATTTTTGCCGCCCTAGGCAAAAGTAAAGTTTGCCGCCCCCCCCATGTGACATCACAGTGCCCCACCCATATGATTTGCCATGTTAACTAACGCCAGTGCTGCAGTGCCGCCGTGTTTACATTAAAAGGCCTGCAGGGACAGGCTATAGACACCAGAACCACTACATTAAGCTGAAGTGGTTCTGGGGACTATAGTGTTTCTTTAATGTGAGGTAAATTAGAGCTTAGTGCCACGAATAATATACTAGATTGCCTACTTACAACCAGATGAGGATGATGATGGGCTCTAGCTGCAGTCTGGCTCCACTGGTCTGGTGCAGAACAGGCTCTCTGGAGGCGGTTTGTAACTGTGGTCACAAAAATCAATGTTCTGGGAGAACGGGAAGCAGCTCCATTTTTTGGGGGTCCTTTACACAGCTCAAGGTCTGGGTCCCAGGGTCCACCTTCATGTTCCACCAATGAGTTTGTTCACAGGGGGTGGAGTGTGTAGGGGATGTCCTGATATGTGTGTAAGGAATGCATTGTGTGAAATTGTGTTTGTATGTGTAAGGGCTGCAAGGTGTGTTTCTGTGTATGTATGGGATGCATTGAATGTGTGTAAGGGGAATTGCAGTGTGTGTAATGAATGCAATGTGTGTTTCTGTGTGTGTAAGGGATGCATTTGTGTAACGGTTGCATTGCTTACAATAGCCATGTCTGTGTGTGTAATGCATTGTGTGTTTTTCTGTGTGCAAGGGGTGCATTGTGTGTATGTGATGAATGTCAATCTCTCCTCCAGCTCCAATTTCCTTCTCCTCCTCCCAATTTCTCTTTCTCACCCCCCCTCCTAATTTCTCTCCCCCCCAATTTCTCTTTCCCCCCTCCTAATATCTCTCCCCCCTCCTAATTTCAATTTCTCTCCCCCCTCCTAATTTCTCTTTCTCACCCCACTCCTAATTTCTCCCCTCATTTCTCTTTCCCCCCACAATTTCTCTCCCCTAATATCTCTTCCCCCCTCCTAATTTCAATTTCTATCCCCCCCTTCTAATTTCAATTTCTCTCCCCCCTAATTTCTCTTTCCCCCTCCTAATTTCTCTTCCCCCTCCTAATTTCTCTCTCACCCCCCCTCTCCTTTCTCTTTCTCTCCCCCTCTCCTTTCTCTTTCTCTCCCCCCCTCCTTTCTCACTTCCTTTCTCACCCCCCCTTTCTCACCCTCCCTCCTTTCTCACCCCCCCTCATTTCTCTCCCCCCTCATTTCTCTTTCTCACCCCTCTTTCTCACCCCTATTTCTCTTTCTCACCCCTCCTTTCTCTCACCCCCTTTCTCCTCTTTCCCCCTCCTTTCTCCTCTTTCTCACCCCCTCCTTTCTCCTCTGTCTCACCCCCCTCCTTTCTCCTCTTTCTCACCCCCTCCTTTCTCTCCCCTCCTTTATCTCCTCCCTCCTTTCTCTCCCCCTCCTTTCTCTTTCTCACCCCCCCTTTCTCCTCTTTCTCACCTCACCCTCCCCCCTACCTCCCTGTAGCGTGGCCGAGCACAGTATAGTCCGCGGGTACAGGGAGCAGCTGTTTCTTGTACCCGGCCGGACTAACAGAAAGTGAACACTCAGTGTGCACTTCCTGTTAGTCCGGCCGGGTACAGGAGACAGATGCTCACTGTACCCGTGGACTATACAGGGCTCAGCCACGCTACAGAGAGGGAGTGAAAGGAGGGAGCGCTGAGCGCTTCCCTCCTGTCAGCCCCTCTCCTCAGGCTGCGCCGGGCGGTGCGGTCCGCCCTCATGGACGCACCGCCCGGGCAAAGCTGCAGCCGCCTGAGGCTCTCTACAGAGCGCTGGGGCGGCTGCAGCATGGGGGACCGCCCCCTCCGCCCCCCTTAGTACGCCACTGCATACACTCACTCAAACACACAAACATAGACACTCACTGACATACATACACTCACTCACTGACAGACACTCACTGACATACATACACTCACTAACTGACAGACAGACACAAACACACAAACACACACAGACACTTACTGACAGACAGACATACACTCACTTACTGACAGACAAACACGCACTCACTGACAAACACACAAACAGGCAGACACTCACTGACACATTCAAACACTGACCTCCCTGCTGGGGTCCAGTGTGGAGCAGCTCCTCACTCCTCCAGCGCGACAGGTCTGCTGCCTTCCTGCTCCGTTCCCCCCATTCCTCCGGGCAATGGCTGTTTTTTGGCAAAGCATGCACCTGCCATCAAGCAGGTGCCTACTATGCCTTACCTAATACAGGTTCAGGGGGGGGGGACCTCCTGGGCCCCCTGTGACAGCGCTCTTTTTGGTGCCCCAACCCTTGGGCACCTTGCGGTTTGGCCTGGTGCTGGGGTTGGCTCAAGAGCCGCTCTTCCAGCGCTGCGGCCCCTGGAAATATCCCGGTGGGCGCCCCCAGCAGGCCGGCACCCTAGGAGAATGCCTAGTTTACCTGAAGGTTGGCCCAGACCCTGGTTGCAAGCTTTTCAAGCTTTCTGAAGTGCAACTCTGCTCCTTAATAACATTCACCGTTTCCACAAAGCAACTGGCGTATTAGATAAAGTATGCACTCAGCTTAACCAATGAGAAATCAGTGTGAGTAGGGTGGTGACATCAATCCACTCTATAGCCAATCACTGTCCTCCTAATATCTACCCCCTCACCTTTCCCCCTCCATCCCCCCCCCGCCACCATTGGTTAGAAATTATATACTAATAAGACAGCAGTCAAGTCAGCAGCTCAGCTCACATTGGTCTTTCATTTGCTCAACTACACTGAATAGCTTTCCATCAGAAAAATTATTTGTGAAAAAGGGAGGCAGGTTTGTTCAGCTTTTTACTTTTATTTAGGACAACTATAGAAATTTGAACAGGTAGAAAACCTTAGCATAAATTTAAGGCCAGCACATATAAAATACACTTGAGTTATATTG